TGACTAAGTGTTGAGGAATGGTGTACGCGACATGGAATCCTATTTTGGATAAGGTCAGTATTAGTCCTGGATTTCATGACATCCTGCTTCCTTGACTTATTTGTTCGCCTCTATCCTCTCTCTCTACTTCTTCTCTTTCTCTTCGTGTATGGCTTTCCTCTTGCATTTTTTCATTTTAGATCTCACTGTACCCTGCTTGAGGGGACTTCAAAGCACCAACCAGCTATACCTTCTATTTTGCGACTAATTGGGCTTCTCCGTAGGAATGAGTATATCCTAAAAATAATACCTATGCAGGGGCTCAATGGATTTCGATTTCAGTTTCCTTCTTATGTCTATATCCATATTACGTATTTCCTTTTTTCTGCATAAAACACGGAACGAATTGCTGTTGATGACGACAACTGTTTATGAAGTCGAATTCCGCCAATCCTTTTGTGATTCGATGTGTTGATCTTCGTGTGAACTTTATGTTTATTTTCATTCTCGTCCCTTGACTGAACATAAAATAGTCATGTTGTTTCTGGCATCCTAAATTCCATTGTTCTTAAATGTAATATAAGTGCTCATCTCAACTATTATGCGACTATTGAAGGATAATGACCAAAGAATGAGAGCAAAAGTCACCTCATTCGTCAAAAAATATGTGGACTGGTAGAAAAACGTTCATCAATTTATCAATTTTTTTTATTATGATCCATTTTTTGCCAAACCAACTATTCCTCGGCCACCTCTGGTATTTGATTCCAATAAACTTCACTGGATTACTTTTTATCATAGTAAATTTAGTTGAAAGTATTCTAAAAATAAAAGGGTATGGTGGCTATTTGTCCATTGGTGCTTTTCTAATAATTTCCTTATTTCTTCATCAATAGTCTAATGCGATCATCTACCAAATACAATGGCAAAAGGACTCACTAGTCATATCTGGTGTGTTACATTCAAATCAAGAGCAAGGGTAACTCATTGACAACTTGACTTCAAAACCTTCAAACCCACACTCACTAAAGTAGTCTTTTTTGTATGTGAGGGCAATGTTCACAAGACAAATCTTGAAGATTGGATTGTATACCAAAGCCTTTAGAAATCTAACATCTCTCTCCCTCTGCGCGCACACACACACACACGCACACACACACGCACACACTCACGCATGCATGCACTTTCATTCAATGACTAATAAATGCTCAAGTAATGTGCATTATACCTCTTCTCAGTCGTTTTCATGCTCAGGCTGTCCATGACCTACACACACACACATTCCATCTCTCCTTGTCTCTCTCCACAACACCCCTTTTCCTAGGACACATTGCAGAACGATAACTTTACCTTTGCTTGATTTCCGTCAGAGGACAGAGGAAGGGAATGTGTTTGTTTATACAAGGTGATAGACGTTCAAATCTTTATATATGTCTTTTGACATGCAAGAACATAAACACAACTGTTCTCTCAAATATTCCAGTAGTCATGAAGCTTCTCTATCTCTTATATTTTGAACATAATACAGGTCATGAAGTTCAATCAATTTTAACAACATTATGACAACAATGAGATCACCCACAAAATGTGTACCTTTTTTCATATTGTTTTGATTTGATGCTCTATCACGCCCCTAAGTTATAGTCAAAATAGAAGGGGACATATTAAATCTATACTAGTAAGATGTCATATAACACGTCAACTTTTCAGTCATAATTTGATGTGTATGTTCTATTAACTTGTTATAATTGTATTTTCTTTCATTATCTAATGCATTGTAGAGAGATAATCAACAATAAGTGAAAGGTTAAAACCATATAATGGTGTTTGGCCAAAAGAGAGTTGCAATAAAAAGGTTGACATTAAGGAAGGTTTTCTTATTCTTTAGTTGTTATCCTTCGATTATTGCATAACTGTTGACATGGACAATATGGATTACATTTGGTAACATGTGAATCTGAGGATCCTAGATACATCGTGACAATTTTGTGTTAAGTCAAAGGACAACATTGAAGATAAGTATAAAGGTAGTTCACATAGATTAGCACATAATCACAAAGCAATGTCCATAATTAAAATAACCAAAACATGTGAACTTTTTAAAAAATCATTGATCTTTTGTAAAACAGAGGAAATATACCAAATGGATATAAAGAGAACAAGAAAATTACAATCCAAATATTAGGAAATTGAAGGCCATTGTGCATATGAATAGTTATTCTCGTTTGAATGACTAAGTCTTGTAGTGAAGCTTAGTGAGTGGAAAAAAAGAAGGTATAGCTCGTTTTTGTTACATAGTCCTCTCAATCAATTCATAGCAAGTTATGAAATGAAAAAGGATGAGAAAAGCCATCATTGATCTAATAAGTAATGAAATTAAAGAGATAATGCTCATAATTCACACTTAAATGGATGAAAAAATGAGAGCAAAATGCATAGAGGTCATTCTATGTCACAAGTTAACTAATTTAGATATACTTGGAACTACTCACCAATATTGTGCATTTATTCCCAGTAATTGTTCTTAGCCTGAACCTACATTGTCGCACCCATTTAAATAACATGCCCTCTTATCCTTGACATAAGGAAATGAATTCTTGGTCAAACAAAGAAAGAATGGCAAGTAGGAATTTACATTTTCTCGTTTTGAATTTGTGTGATTTTTGACAATAGACTAACGACCATATCGACTCTACTATCAAAACTTAGTTATATATCTTAGTTACATTATTAATTTACATTACTAATTCTGACCGATAGTTTTGGTATCCTAAGATATCTTAGTTATATATTTCACATTTAAAAATATGTTATATAAATCATATTTAAATTATTATGAGACTTCAATCCATCTTATTGACATGCATGCGACCAACTGAAGCTACCGGGCCTTTCCCCACATCACTCCTTGGCTTCTCCCGTCAGCCGGCGTGCGTCATCTCCTTGCCTTTGGCCACGCGTCATCTCCTGTTCTTGTCGATATGGGACCCGCCACATCAAATAGAATCCCGCTGAACCAACAATCTCCTTCCCCCTCGATTATTTTCTGATGTGCCCTGGTGAGCGTCGAGAGCCAGGCGACTTGCGGCTGGCCAGCTCACACTCTTCACCCCAGCACCCCGGGACCCCAGCGTAGGCTGCCCAGGCCTACAGATGGATTCGAACGGCTGGATACGCTCTCGGACGCGCGGGCGATTGTCCGCATCGTCCCTTCAAGAGGCGCCACGATTTCGAACGGGCCAGGGCGTATTAATCTCGCATATAAATACGTCGCCATCGCTATGAGACACGAGGTGGTGTTATCTTCTGCTCACGTCGAGGACGCCTCTCCAGGGGGAGGAAATTTGGTCGCCTCCCTGCTTCCTCGTCGAGAACCAGAAACTAGACTTCCGCCCCTGCGCTTCTCCGGGTAAAGCTCATTTTATTTTTCCCTGAATAATTCTTCATTTTGTATGTGGGATTCTAGGGCATAAGTAGGCGGTGTCTCTCGTGGGGAGCGGAAATGGAGAGGGGGCGAGGAGGCGAGGAGGCGGCTCCGGCTGCATTGCGTCTTCCTCTGTTCTTCGTCAGGTAATTTAGTTCAGTTTCTACTGCCACCCAGGACCGATAGAAATTTCACGTCTCTTTCGACTTTTTGTCTACTTTGCCATAATGCGGCGGGGTTTTCCGTTTTTCCACCTGGGCTACTATGTCAAGTCTGTTCCCTCTCACACGAATCGTGGATCGCTTCATTCTTGGATTTTCCCCTCGTTGTTTCGTGGATGATGGTCCAGATTGCAAGCTCCAGACCTCTCCTTGAGTGCTTCTGACCATCAAACAATAAAGGGATTTCCAAAGATTTTTTTTCTTTTTCTCACTAGTCCTCTAGAGAAATATTCACGCTCCCCATGTTTTAAGGCACTCATTCATCTTCCCCAAAGATACTGAGATACGATGAAAACCAACTGTGTCTATATTTTACGTAAAAAACCTCACTTCAGCCCGTTTTATTCATATTTACTAGGTATTTCTTTGTTCAGAGGGATTTCTCACTTGTATCCAGCTTAGAAATTCCTCTTTTATTTTTCTATTTTCCTCAAAAAACAACTAGCTCGTGTGAGGCCTGGAATTTTTTTGTTTTCTGCTTTCCAACGATTCTCAAATCATTCCGTGGCTGATAATTTTGACCACCATTGTTTACAACTCTTTCCTCTTTGTTATATATTTCTGGATCAAAATTTATCTCAAGTCCACAAGTCTTGCTCTCCAACCTGCCAATTAACACGCGCATTTCATGAGTTTAGTAACTCATCGACTCTTGGGTTCGGGAGTTCACGTCTCGTGTACTAGTGCGGCCATAATTCCCCAGATGGTTTCTACCACCGAAAGTGACTGCCTAACATTAACTTTTGAGCTGCTTCTAGAAAGTTCATGTGGCAACACAGATGCCAATCAAACAGAAAGCCCTGTAGATTCTTCCGGTAAAGGAAGGCCTCCATTCGCAATTTCTATGGATTTTCCGAGGAGTTTGATGACTTCTTTACAAGTATGCGAATCGCCTGTCTGATTGATTCCTTGGGGGGGAGGTGGATGATCCCTCCCCGTTTACCCTCTTCGTGAGTTCAGAAATTTCACCTTACTCTCTATTTTTGTTTCTTTAATGTTGGTGGGTGGCTAGGCGAACCCACCCATTGCTATTCTCCCTTCCCTCAACCGAGCATTCTCTCTCTCTCTCTCTCTCTCTCTCTCCAGCCTCGATTTGTTTGAAGCCTAAGTAGATTGGATAGAACCTAAGAAAATGGGCAACTATTTCAGCTTTACTCTTGTGTCAGTCTTACGGGGGGCATCACCCCGTCACCTACACCTTATCGAGTGCTCGAGCAGGGTCGGACACCGAAACTGTATTCAGACTAGCCAAACCGAAGCTGGGTTCTCATATTTTCATGTCTAACATTATCGGGCCTTTAAATATTTTCATGTGTTCCACCAGACTGATTGGCATCCTCGGGACTATCTGTTGACCACCTGTGAAGCTCAGGATCATGGGAGATGACCACCACCATTATCGAGTAAGTACGAGGCCTTGTGGCCATGGAGGATACGTTCTTTTCTGAGTTCCTATTCTCCCCACTCATCCTGCATGCATATTTGGGCTATCGCAGGAGGACGTGAATTTGGTGCGATTTGAGGGGCCCTGGTCCCCTGACTCGACCTACGATAATCCCCTCCCTGGGGACGAAGACGAAGGTCGGGCTCTGCCGTTTGTTCCCCCTCAACTGCAGCGCCCTTTGCTGGGCGCCGCCGCCGCCAGAGATGCCCAGGGAGATCTCCCGCTGCCACCGAGCGCCGTCCTGAACCACCTCTACGTAGAGGGACAGAGACAGCCCGAGGTCAGTCGTCGCTCTCAGCATCACCCACCGCTTCCACTCCAAGTACGTCAGCGTCGTTCTTTACAAACCTGCTCGGAGGAGGGGGGGCTTGAGGGCCTTAAATGTTCTTGTCGATCAGAGAAACATCCGACAAGTGTCGAGCTTTTGTCCGTAATCCTCACGGTTTCGCTCGCGGGTTGACTTTTGGTGGGGAGATAAGTCAACCCGGAGGAAGCCCGCTTTAAAAAGTCCAACGTGAGGCGATGAGTTGGGGGCCTTTGTGAGGGAAAGCGGCGGGTGGGAGTAAATGTGGTGCACGAGCTTCCCCTCCCCCTCCCGCTCTGCATGGCCAAACCGGGGTCGGGGTGGGGTGGATTTCCTCCGAGCTCTGCTTGCTAGCGATGAGCTGTTCCTCTTCACGGGCCTATTCAATACGCCCGTTCATTGGGGGAGGAGGAGGAGGAGGAGAAAGAGGACGGGGAAATGCTCGCTGGCTCTCCTTGTATTAATATAGCAACCCCTTCTCTTTCCTCATGCAGACGAGAAGAAGCCCAGGAAGAGAAGAGAAGAGAAGCCCTTCTCTTTCTTTCGCCTTGTAAATGTCTCCTCTCCTCTCCGTGGCCTTGCTGCTCTTCCTCCTCTTCTCCTCACCAGCCCAGCCCGCCCCCTCAGCTAGGGTCTCCCCCGCGAGCCCTCCTCCTCCTCCTCCTCCACCATCGCCCCCCAAGGCGTACGCGATGATCGGATTCCTCCCCGGCCGCAAGCGGCACGGCTTCCGCGCAGGGGAGGCGGAGGGCTGCATGCCGAAGGAATTCCGCCCGCCGCCGTCGGCTCCCAGCCGATACGCCAACTACCACACGCTCGGCGCCGTCGTGTGTTCTCCGGCGAGGCGGGGCGAGCCGTGACGGCCGTGGACGTCCCTCGTCCGCCGGCTCCGACGAAGTCTGAGGGAGGATTCCGGGTGGCTGGCGATCAATACGCTCGTGCATGGGCATCTCTCTGTCGTATATAGTTATTTATATATTTTTTTTTCTTCACAACTCCCGAAGACATGTAGCATTGAGCTGAGACGCTGTTCGATCAATGAAATAAGTACTACCATATTTCGCTCGTTGAAGGCTCTTCTCCTCTCCTCTCTCTCTCTCCCACCCTTACGTTCCCAGCGTATCCAGCTTCGTGTGGCTGCGGGGGGGACGTAGGAACGGATGCCCGAGCTTTAAGAGGAATCACGAGTCGCCTGCATGGCGGGGGGAACAGCGCGGCGGTGGGAGGGCCCATGATGGGACACCCCGCCCCGATGGGACCCCGCTATTGTGCCGCGCGGCGCGCTGACCATGAGGCCGGCGGTGGCCGTGGTTTCGGCTCTTTGGCTCCTGCCGAGAAGCCCCCCTCCCGCTGCAGATGATGGCTGGGAGACTGGGTCAGAAGAAGAGGTCTTCTTATGCTTCCAGAGAGATCCGACAGAAACCACACAAAGTAGAGAAAGTAATTCACACCTTCACAACCAGATATCTTCCTCAAAGAGAGTACGGAAGAGAGAGAGAGAGAGAGAGAGAGAGAGAGAGGGAGAGAGAGAAGAAGAAGAGGAGAGAGGTCATCTCCCACCACTAAAACCCACTTAATGTCACCGCTCACCATTACTGATCCCCTGTCAAGGCGTATTAACATGGAAATGCCCATTTTTTTAATAAGACTATTTCACATCCTCATCCAAAATAATATCATTAAAAATTACGTATTTTCTCTTTTATTCATTTTATTTTATTTAAAATCCGATTTGTTCTGTGCCCCAGCCACGCTGCTTTCACCTGACCGCGAGAAGCAGCTGGAGGGGGGGAGACGAGTATAATCGCTTGACCGTTGCGAGCACGGGTACGAGCTCGTAAGAAGGGAACCCTTCTCGCGCGGCCGCCCCAGGGCTTCACTGCCCGTTCAATCCCCCCTGCTCTCGCCATGGTTCTTCCGTCGCCTTCACTTCCCTTCGACTCGCTGATCTCGCACTCCCTCTTCTGTGCCCTGACGTGTTTTCCCTCCGTTTACAGGATTATTTGAGAATGATCAACCCTTCTCAGCTGATGGTCGAGCGAGGCTCGAATCTGGTCGTCATAAACCCAGGTGCCAGGACCTCAATGCCCGCTTAATCTTGGCACAATGTCTTATTGGGTTTGGTGTGCAGCTGGGTTTTTTTCTGGAGAGTCGCTAAGTTCGTCTGCGAGGTTTTTATGCTTTCCGGCGTGAACTATTTTGTTCGGCGAATTTAGACGTGCGAAGGCGGGGAAACTATTTTTCCTTCATTTGATTTTTTTTTGCGTTCCATTCTTCCGTTGCCTTCGGGGGACAAGTTTCTTGTGACCCTGCCACGTACCATTTTTTCACCTCAGTTTCCATTGTCTGTGCCGAAGGTTCTGCAAATGTTCGTATAGGCTTGGCTGGGGAACAGACGCCTTTCAACGTTCCCCACTGTATTGCGCGGCACCTGAAGGGATCCCAGGCGTCTGACTTTACAATGATAGATCAGGTAAAGTCATCATTTTCTAGCTTTCACTTTTACGACGGTGTAGTGCATTATTAATGCCATATGTCAATTAGTCGACCCTTTTCGTTTTTTCTTCATCGTGTGGTACTGTCTGACATTTGTTTTCAGCCTCTAAACCCCCAGACAACATATGCTCAAAAATTTGAACGTGAGGAGGTTTACAAAAGTGTAAGAAAAAGCTGAATTCTTTTTCAGGTTTTTTTTCCACTTCGTTTTAACTATATAATAATCTGTAGATTGCGTCGTCAATGAATGTTCGTTTTATTGATGAAGACGCGGAGGACAGCCCTTTTCCACGCAAGGTACACTGAGCTGCTGACCTGGTAGATGATCATTTGAGCTATTCTGCTGGCAGCTGTCAGCAGTACTATTTTTAGTAAGTTTGCTCCATATGGTTAAGGAAAACAGCATTCGACTAATGTTGAGCAGTACTAATATTTTCTCTTCATAATGAGGAATAAGAAGCAATTAAGAAATGAAGAGAGAACGTTGAGTTTTTTGATATATTTTTCTCTCTAGTCATGTCGTACACCCTCGCTTAAAAATGATAATTCCGTGAAAATGTGATATGCCTAATTATTCTCATCATAACCCAATGCATTCTTTCTGTACCCCAATGTTCTTCATAAAACAAGTTGGACAGTGGAGGCGTGGATATTGAAGCCCAATAGCTAGTATCATGTTCCCCAATAGCTGGGGGAAACCCTTGACTTAGTAGTAGCTTATACAAAATGTCAATTGGCAAACAAAGGGTGTGATAGACACTCAGAAATTCATACCAGTCAGAAAATAAATAATATATATATATATATATATATATATATATATATATATATATATATATATATATATATTTGAATGTGAATGTGGGGCCCAACCTGACAAAATGGAATATAGCAAACTGAGTTATTTAAAAGGAGGAAACTGACTCATTTGAAACTTCTTGTGCATATCTTGGTCTCACCAGTTCTTGGCAAATATACCATGGGAACATTGTGAAGATCAAAAAAAAGGTTGAGTTATTTAAATCAAAGAAAATAAAAAAACATGAATCCTTCAAGACTGGGATAATTTGTTTTGAATTGGCAAACATTCCCTGAGCTCTGTTTTCTGACAGCTGAATCGTTATGTAGAATTCATTCAACTTTCTTGGGGCATAATACCAGACTTTGATTAGATGTTAACTAGTTAGAATGTGCCAGCCTCTGCTTCAACTTTTAATCATTCAGCATTTTAAGGTTAGATGTGCATTCTCTTTTTTGATTATCAAATGATTATGGGGTAATATTCACTTTCAGAGATAAAAAGAAAATCTTTATAAGTTAGAGGTGTTTGGAACTGTGAGGAATAGTGATATTCGAAATAGATATAAGAAAAACCCTTCCTGTGAAAAGCAATCATCGATGTACTGTAAATCTATGACATATTCTTAGATTATGTGCTCAGCTGTACTGTCAAACGCTGTGTGTGTTTTACTACATGCTTACATGTAACTAAGTGTGCAGATGGGACGTGTTGATGGGTACAATACTCAAAGCAACAAAGTGAATGTTGGTTTCAATTTAACTGATGTGATTGAAAAGAAACGCAGATCATCATTCGCTGAAGGTACATGCCAAGTTTATCCTTCACATTTTGGTCTGGTAACTGCTTAGTTGTTTTTGATATGCTTGTTAAATTTTTTCCATATTCATCTTCTCTATTCATTGCTTTGGGGCTTATAATTTTATGTTCTTTTTCACTTTGTGTTTACAGATTTTCTTTTTATGTTTTATATAGTTCCCAAACTTTTATTCCCAAATTGAGTTTTAGTTTCCTCCACATGTCAGGACCACTCTGTTGGTCCTCTATTTAAAGTAAATGGTTTCTTATACACCTCTTGTTGCATTCTTTGTAGAAAAAAGTTATCTTATTTTGTCTTTCTTCTAGCACTACGAATGTAATAGTTCATATCTATTTATGTCTAATAAATATTTTTAAATTTATAAAAATCCCCTATTCCATTAAAATCTTCGTATGAATCTGTCCTTCGAATTGTTTACGATGAAGTCAGCACAAAAAAAAAAACTTCTCTATAGATGTTTACAATAAACATATTGCTCAGATAAAATTACTTATCTTGGTTTGATCTGATTCGAGTGCCATCTTTTACCTCTGGAGCCAATCGATCTTTTTATATTTGACATATAATGAAACGTAAAAGCCCACTGATCAGAACTCGTTTGACTTTTCAAATGAGCAATGCGGTAGTTAGCCAGTTCCTTGATTTTCAGATTCTCACCTTAACTAATGGGTGCCTTAGTCTGCTTTAGTCAGCGTAGTAATGCTGTTATTCTCTCGCAATATCTCAACATCTAATTATTTCTTCATAAAAGAATAAGATTTTCTCTGTAGAGGTGACACTATGATCTGCATTTCATTTTTCTGTCCTACAATGTGCTGTTTCTAACTATATGTTTCCTAAAATGCTGCAGATAATAGCGTTAAAGAGGGTGAATCATTGGATCTTTCCACAAACGTTGATGATATTGAGGCCCAGCCTGATGAAGACATCTATAAGGAATTTTTCTGTGGGGAGGATGCTCTTAGAATTTCCTCAAATGAGCCATATCGTTTATGTCGACCTATTCGTCGAGGCCACTTCAATGTTTCTCAGCATTATTCTTCCCAGCAGGTACTGTATATCTTAGGTCCCAGATTTAATGAAAATCATCAGAACATCTTTGATACGTTAAGAACACATATCTTCTCTTATAGATATGTAGACACTCGAAAATATGAGGATACCAATTTTGGAGAATCTCTTCATACATTCAAATTGATGCCTATACTAGTCTGAAATTTTATTCACAAATTGATGATTGTCTCCTTTCTAGGTTTCTGAGGATCTTTTTACTATTTGGAACTGGGTGTTGAGTGAAAAACTACAGATTCCAACAGCTGATAGAAATCAATATTCCGTCATCCTTGTTGTGCCCGAAACTTTTGATAGCCGTGGTATAAATTCTTCTCGACCCAAAAAACCCTAATGTCGGTTCTTTTCATGAATATACTGTTCTTCGATTCTTCAAAATGCATGTTCTGTCATTCTGCGCTCGCATGAGAGTCCTCTTTGATTATGTGCGAATTACAGTGCCCACATTTCTTTTGCAAGATTTTTTGCAAAAAAAAAATCGAAAAAAAAGAAAAAAGGGAATGGCTGTCTTATAATGCCCCCCAGTGAAGCCAGATGTCTGCTGCCTGAGCAAAGAAGCTCACAAACAAAGGGGAATGAAAACCACAGCATCCTCACGGAAGAAAAGGGACATGAATAGGTCCTACTATCGTCATCCTGAGAACGGGAATGAGACTCCATTGTTTGCTTGGCAGAGGGAGGTGTAAAAATGGTTTGAATGGAATGTAAAGCTTTGGTTTGGCAGGGTGGGCATTTCATCCCTCCTCTGTCATGGGAGAAGTGGAGAGACAGAACTCAAGAAAGCCTCCAAATTCAAGAACTGTGGCCGGATCATTTAGGTCCTTGTCCAGGTCCTGAGACTTATATACAAGGAGGCTACTCATCCCCTAAAGGTCCTTAACACGTAACATACCAATTGTATGGGGAGATTGTCTCACTCATCCCAGCAGATGAGAATCTGCTCAATATCATTCTTGATTGTTTATCCATTTAAATAAGCCCAAACGCAGACCCATTTCAATAAGTTCAATGAAAGTAGGCCCAAACCTACTGGGCAATTAGGATCTAAACTTAATGCATCTAAACTCAATGGTCTATTTGGAACCAAAATTTCTTGGCCAATCACAGTTAGAAAAGTGAACTCAGATCCAAAGGACTATGAAGAATTGGATTTCCTTACTATGTTCCATGCACATGGGTCTAAAGACCTTGTTTAGAAGTCTAGTCTTGTAGTAATAACCAGACGCTAATGAGTTTCAAATGTGCTTCCAACAGTCAATTTTATCTGGAAATTTCTGTGTGAAGCCAGGGTTTTTCTCCTTTCATTTTTTGTGGACCAGGTGCCAAATGTTATTTATTTCTGGCTTTCACTTAATGATCTCATTGGAAGACAAATTGATGATTGGCTAACTGCTTGACTGAAGCCGTCGCCAATAACTTTTATTTTTTAAACCACCTTGACGTGTGACTCTCAGGTAGATTCCAGTTAATCACTGTCATGACTCTCTGGTCTATTGTTGGTCGAAATACTTGTCTAGACCTCTTAGATTTTGACTGTTCGGTGAAGAATAAAGATTGGCGAAAAAATGTTCATGGTGGCTCTAACTGCGCGTTCCTTTCTTTTCTTTTCGTACATAATGAATAATTTTGTTCGTTTGGTACATAATGTGACACGAAAAAAGTTATTCTACTTCTGTGCGCGCAAGTTTCAGTGGTTGTTTTTTCTACCAGAAATTAGAGAAATGCTTTCAGTTGTATTGCGTGATTTAAAGTTCAACTCAGCAGCTGTACATCAGGTTTGTGGAAAACTCTTGGTACTTTTTAAAGCATTTGACATTCATTGTATATTGTAAAGAAATTGGATGTGAAGGAATAGATTGACGATCATGTAAATTCATTTCTTGTTTATTTAAACCGTTTCATGCACTGCCCAAGTATCCTAGCATCAGAATTAGCATCAGGACTTTGTATTGAAATGTGCTTCTCTGAAATCGCATTGGATCAATCAGTGGTAGTGCCTGAACAAACCTGGACAAAATGATTACTGCAGACGATTATCTTTTCTGTCAGATCTTCTTGTTGACAAGGAAAACTGGAGGTTGAGCCAGATAAACTTTAAGAGCACATCGAACCTATGGCTACCTCTTGCCATTTCTCTGGCCCAAGGATATGTGATCATATTGTTTTGCTTTATCTTCTCCTAAACAAAATAACGAAAATGAACCAAAGAAAACGGAGATGAGATGGTTAGACGAAGAAGACTCCTATTAAATTAAGTGCAGTCCTTCGTAGGAGGAGAAGAACTACTTAAGTGACTGTTGAATCAAATACTCTATGTTAGTGAGGGAAGAGGCATCCATGGATAACAATGCGTTGACTTCTCCATGATTGATCTTGTAGGTAAATATATCTATCCCCTTAACACACGATTAGAGTTCTAGCTTCAATGTTGACATTTATTTTGTATTTTCAATGTCCATCCCCTTGATTCTCTTTGTCTTGTCAAAAAACATTTGACTCATTGATACTAGTTTATCATTATGCTTATCTAATGATAGTATGATACCACACTGGCTTTTAAAAAAACCTTAGACTTGTATCCTCTTCGTCCAGAATATTTACATACCCTATATATGGGTTGGCGAAATCATTTTGGCCTATTGTTGAATTATCAGTTCGCCCCATCATTAGGTCTTCTTCTAGCTTTCTATTAAAAAGACAAATCCTGTTCCTCTCGCACCAGCTTTCATAGAATATGGGTGCTATGTTCAACTCTCTAGTTTTCTTGACTACCTTCAAAGAAAACTTTTTTTTTCCTTCTCTAAGTGAGAGTTTTCTGAACTAAGGTCAAGAGAGAATCCTGATCGTCTCTTGAAGTTTTTATAGATAACGGAAAAATAGCCCGGAATCGGCCATTCTGACTTTGATTTGCCAGTTTCATGCCTGTCTGACAGGTTTAGGTGTTAATTTTTATAATGAATGTTAATATGGGTGCGTGCTTTTACAGTTAAAAATAAACTCAGCTTTTAAATACCATTTTTTTAATTTTTTTTTATTCAATCAGCTGCTTCCTTCAGATTGCTTTCTTTCAAAATGCTGATTCAAAGCCGCTTGAGGTAGCACACATCTATTCTGGGTTTCCATCCCTATTGTTCTTCATCCTTGTTGTCTAACAACATCTACAACCTCTACCTCTATTTCTTGGACAGAGGCCATGCGCCTTTGAGAATTCTTTATAACAGTGTTTGATGAGGAAGCCACTTGAGTCTTATTCGACATTCCCTCATCAATTCATGAAAATTCGTTGCAGAATAATATGACATGCTGGGCAACCATTACTGGAAGCTTGCTCTCCTTGCGAAGTCATTCCTATTCCTCCATCCTGGACGCAGTTTATCTCACAAGGCCATCTACAGATAGATTGAAAAGTTGGAAAATACAATTAGATATTCCTGATTCTGAAACTGATTATAACTCTTAGCTAACTCAGATCCCACTCGCATGTGGTTATACCCCGCTTTCAGTTGTCATGTGTATGTGCTATATCCATTATAATTTCATTTGCAGTACACTACTGGAACCAGTGCTGGTTCAGAAATACACAAGATAATAAATATTCCTCATTAGGTTAACCATTATAACTCTTTGTTATAGTACCGGTTCATCAATTAGTCTTTAATATCAAGCACTCAACAATTGATTGTAGAAAACTAATCTTCAATGAAGAGAACAGAACGAAAACTCTTATATCAGGGGCAATAAACAAGTTAGCGTTTGATCCCTTAAAGTCACGAAAGATGCTATAAAGCAAATATGCAATGTAAGAACAGTAAAAGGACAACTCTTCCATCTGGAGTAATAAAAAAATTAGAACAAAAGACGAGCATCTGATCTCAAACAAAAACAGAGATGCCTCAAAGGTAGTGTGCAAGAAAAAAATAATAGAACAGGAGGAACTCTTCTGTCAAGAGTATAAAGAACAAATGATAGGGCACATGAAATCGAAAGGAAAACTCTAACTGGAGCGTTTGCATTTAGAAGCACTATCATAAGCTCTAAAGCTGCGGAGTGTCTTGAGATATTATAGGGTTATCCTAATGCCTTCAGATCATCATAGAAATCTTTCTACAAGACTTAAATTTCAAGATTCCTTCCCCTGCTTTTCTCATGAAGAGCTCCTATCGTTCAGCACTCAAAGAATCATCCTCACCCTAAGAATCCTATGGCCTATTGAGGCGAGCCAATCCTTTCCTGGGTTAACTGAAAAAAACAAAAAAAATTCAGTCTCCAGCCTAACACAGTATACATCAACCTTAGATCAATGTACCTCAATTTTAAGGTTTCATTTGTCTCGAAATCCACATTATGCGTGCTTTATGATTCAAAATAGCTGGCGGTTTTAATCATCAAAATAATTCAGTGGTTCAATTTGTTTAATTAATTTTTTTACAAATTATTCTTATTTCCCCACAAGAGATCTTCCTGTTTGGGTAATGCTCAGATGTCAGAAATAAGGATTTTATTTTCTTTCATTTAGTTTAATTCAGGTTGACATAAAATTTTCCATTTTCCCCTCTAAAGTTCATGCTCTTCTAAGTCAATAATGACGCTGCTTGCTTCACACATGCTTCAGGAAGGTTTTGCTGCTACATGTGGAAACGGATTGGCTACTGCATGTGTTGTGAATTTGGGTGCTCAAGTAACATCAGTTATCTGTGTTGAGGTAAGTTTATTCAAAACGTGAAAAATTAAAGGCTCATGATCCTTTGGATTCATCTGCACTTGGAAACTTAGGTTAGAGGAAGTCCCAAATTGTGAAGAAAATTGCATGCTATACCCCCGAGTACATATCTCGAACAAATTTCTATTTCAAGGCTATTGTGCAATGTGTTTGCACTTCTGTAATTATGGAACGTTACCTCTTAACCAAGATATTAATGTTGTATAATTTTTGTTGACACTGGATATCTGTGTGTAATATCTAGTTACCAAGTTCTGTTTTTTTTTGGTTTTTTCAAGTTTCTGTATTATATGATTCACATTATGAGGTCAGAGAGGGGTCCCTCTGACTTATATGATTCATGGCCAAACTAAGTTTTTTGCTATCTCATGCATATGGATCAACATAATAAATTCAGTGTCAACAATGTGATGTGAACTATTCCTTACAGGGTTGACTATGACAATTGACTCAGAGACATGGGAGTGAAACCAAGGCTTGTGCCTAATGAACCACAATAGTTCTTTGTTTTTATTGTCTTGTGATCTTTAAACTTAAGTTATTTGCGTTGTCTATTGTAACGTGAATAAGCTTGACTTAGCCTAAATATTCAAATCCCAATCCTCTTCTTAGCTTTCATCTTGTTCATGTTGTTTATGGTATATATGTGGGATGCTTTTATGATAATTATGATAGCCTTTCTCATTTTGTTGCTGCTGTGTTTAACTGTTTTCTCTTGATGCTCTGTGATTTACATAATATCAGTACTTATTGATCTACTTCTGTCTCGTTAGTATTTATATCTTCGAAATATTTGATGGTCTTAGACGAGGTTGTGAAAATAAGGCTATGACTCAGTTGTTTTTGGCTCTACCTCTAGGATGGCGTCGCTATGCCTTCTACAAGTGTAATCGTGCCTTATGGTGGAGAGGTAGAAACTTACATTTCATTGTTATGCAGCACCAACTTAATTTTTAAAAAATTGAGTGCAAATCAGCTCTTTTTTTTCTTTCTTTAGTTTTTCCACATTAGTTTGAGTGCAAAAATTTAGTGCAAGTCCTTCATATTCACATTAATTTTTCTGCGTCGACTTGATTATATATTGAAGTAAGAATTCCCTACTATCCATTTGTTTCCATTTTGTTCTCTGGAGCTCTGTCATCTGTAGTGACCTAAAAGTGATTTAGTGATTAAAACAGAAGGTCAGCATACAACTTGAAATTGGACTCTAACCTGGTTGCATAACAGATGCTATAGAAAAGAAACCTGTATTCAAATCCCGATTTCATGATGATTGGTGGGTCAACCTCAAAGATAGAATGTGCTGCAAGTCTTAGGGGCAATCAACATAAGCTAGACACTCATCACCCCATCTGAGAAGATAACTGCACATACACTCGTTTGTTCAAGAAGATACTGCCATCATGGCAGGGCTGAGAAGAGTAGATTCTTGTGTAGACAGTCATCGGTCTTGACTTACATAGGGATGATTAAAATTTGACCACAATTGTGGTTCATTTACCTCACAGACATGCCATGTCCCTCTTCTATTTATAGGCTATGATCATCATGAATTTCCTTAAATGATGCCCGTGGCATCCCTATCAAAGACCATCTTTGTCATCTGCTTGAAATACATGGCCAAATTGTAATCGAATCGCATTGCACCTTCAATTAGTTTATTTATCCTATTATCTATCATTATACCTGTCTTTATTTTAAAAATGACGTTCTTTCATTTCTCGTAGGATATCTCAAGATGCCTTTTATGGGTGCAGCGTTATCATCAAACATGGCCCATTGTTCATACAAATCCATTGGTTGAGCCAAATGACTTATTGATTTTGGACAAAATAAAGGAGGCATGCTGTGTGATAAGGGTTCGTTTACTTATAGAACCTCTCTCTCTTTTATTCTTTGGAATATTGTGCTTAGAAGTCATTTTTTGTTTTATAAACCAGCAACCATTATTGAACTATTTTTTACGGTAAATTTATCTTTCATTTTTGTTATTTTAGTCGATTTAGTTTCTCATACATCTTCGATTTCCTCTTGTTTATCCAAAAATTACCAACACCTTCATCTGTTATCTCTCACCCTCTTCCTTTTTTCAAGTTTTTAGGAGGAACAAAATAATTTTGTATTGGTGCTGGTAGCACACACTTACTCATATTTCCTGAGAAAAATACTTAGACGACCGTTTTGACGAAACTAAGTCTCAGGGCAGCCGTATACCATTTTATTTTTTCCGTTGTCTTATTTTCCAATTACAGGAAGGGGATGTGGATGGTATGGCTGTACTTCATTCTAATGAGGAAGCTAAGTCTGGATCTTTCAATATCAGACTATCTGCTCTCAATGTATGCGTTAGTTTTCTAATGCTCAATTTTCACACTCACTGTCTTCAATTTCAAAAATAATTTAGTTTTCTAATGGGATTTATCTGTTGCGTTGTTGTTCTAATTTATGAAGGTGTACTATGATGCCTCATTAAATAATATTATATGATTCGTCAGATTTTGCATACTCCTTCATGAGTGTTGACTATTATGTCGTCTCCTTTTCCCCATTTTTAATTATTATCTATGTTGCTTTTGTCATTTCAATGATTGATAGCGCTTGACCTGAATTTATAAAAAAAATTATGATCGTCCACATTCTATATCATAATGAGACACATTCAGGGGGTACTTCGAAAAATAATGTCATGCTTTGTACATGATATTTGCAGTTACAATATCAGAAACATTGTAGAAGTACTTTGGAATTCCATTGATCACTGATTTAGAGAATATGCGCAATCTACTTGCTATTTGACTATTGATAAAGTATCCATAAGAGCCCCTCCAAGATATTTCACACTATGAAGGTATTTCAGTGTACATCATTAATCATATTATTCATGTCTAATTGATGACTTTTTTACTTGATATTCCTGGATTTTTGAACTACTAACTTTATTAAGGTTCAATTTCGAGTTTTTTTGGATTTCATATTGACTTTTCCCCTGATGTAATTGAAACTTGGGAAAAGTTATCGGATAACACAATTTTATATGACTAGATGATCCTTTCAGTGCTCTTTTTTAGACGAGTAAGTCATGATAACTAGAGAAAGAAGTGTGACATACAAGAATATACTAGTTCAATGGTAGATGAAATTCTTGAGCGATAATGAAGCTGCGTAAGAATCATCGAAACTTGAAATTAGACAGCTTTTAGGACAACTGGTAATGGTTGTTGTGGGAAAGAAAATAAAGGTCTAAGGAAATAATCTGCTTGGCAACTTGGAGTAAACATGCACCTATTCGATGGATATGGGAGAAAGGGTGACAAGTCAAGTTTATTTGTGGACGAAAAGCTAAGAACTCTTTGTCATCGTACTTGTTCAGTGGCCAATGGATCTCAGGATCTCAACATGGCATCCTTGATGGAATTCTCTCTTTCTAGTTAATTAACTCGTTATGTATCCTCTCATATCCGTGAGGGAAATTATTACTTATATGGTTCAAATAATAATGTAACATTTCAGAGAATTTAGTGGTTGTGTTGTCTACACAGTGCCTTAAGGTCCTTCTACGATCCTATTAATTCAAGATAATACGTAAAGGTACAATTTCCTCATTCTCATGTGTGAGGTGTTTGCTTCATTTCTTGACTAACTCAGTTATGCTCTGTAGATTTACCAGTACGATTTTTTATTTAATATAAGACTATGCATTCACAGAAGCATAAATTATACTACTGTTCTTTGTTTCTAAACAGTGTGCTCAGTACTTCATTTATTCTAGATTCTGAATGATTTTTTGGAAGTCTATTCATTTGCATATTCTGCTGGTCATTGTTCATCAAATGGGAAACCAACTTGATTCTCTTCAATGACAAAAAAATTCAAGGTTTATTCTTAAAAATTCTATCGACAGGTTCCACCGATGGGATTATTCTATCCGAGGATTTTGATACCAGAAGAATATCCCCCGCCTCCCCGCTCGTGGTGATTTACACAGCTGTCAATTTAGTGCCATTTTTAACATTGGATGTATGTAATATTTGATTAGCTTGTAAGTTATTGTTTGCCACCAGGTTCAATGACAATGAGGATATGCTTGAAGATACATGGCATGTGGAGTTACCCAGAAGACCTGACTTCTCTGAGAGCTCATTTCTTGGCATGAATAATAGTCAAATGATGTATGATAACAATTTGTTCTTTCCTACTCGCATCAAGGAGGAGGAAAACCTTGGCCTTGCTGAGGCAATTACTAGAAGCATTCTTTCAGCAGGTGTGCTTTGCCTTTTCTTTGGAAGTAAAGGCTTTATTTGTGATCCCCAAAATAGTTGCTTACAATTGATGGATTTGCAGGACGTCTAGAGCTTCAAAGAAAGTTGTTTTGTAGCATACAATTGGTGGGTTATAAAAATATTTTGTAGAAATATGACGGAAGACATTAAAGTCTGGATTTAGTGACGACTTTTCAATGTTTCAGATTGGTGGGGTAGCTTTGACTAAGGATCTTGTTGCTGCAGTTGAAGAAAGGTACTCCCAGAGAGTTAATTTCTATTTTTTTAAGTTATTTTTGTTCCCCGTGTTTGTTGCTTGGTGTTCTGGAGTTCTTATTTCAACTTTAACATACACTGCCTAAAGATTTACCTCGCAATTTCTTGCAAGCAAATGTCTTGAACATTTCTAACTTGATCTCCTGTTTTTGCCTATATTTTTTGTAACTTGTGTTTCCTTTATCCTCTAGTGATGACTTTCATTCTTTATACCAAGGAAACAAATATCCTCTACTCTAGATTGATTGGATTATACTTTTAAGTGGGTTCGGCTTTTATGAGCTGGACTAGGGTTTAGAAAATCCATGTCACAATACCCGTTTGAATTATTACATGGACAATCATTTAGATCACATGTAACTTAGCCTCTAGGGTTAAAGATCGGGATGATTAATGGCACAGATCTTCCCAGAACTACCCGAGTCGTATGCTGATTTGCACTGATACACAAGTACCTAAGTAGGATCGTTTATTATTGTTACATCTCAAGCTGCGAACTTGTTATTGCCTTTTTTTTGACGAGGAAACCATGTTAGCTCTCGTTTAATTTAGTCTGGTACATCAATGAGCTAAGTTAACGCTACTTCTTCATCATCTAATCGTCCCCTTGAATGTATGTTACGATATTTCTTGGCAGTGATACTCGTTTAATCCAACCCTTGAACATAATGACATTATGCTACACAGAGATATGGAGGATCAAGAACATTTGAAATTACCTGACCATGCAAGCCTCATTCAACACGACGGCCATAAAACAAGGAGTAATATAAACGATCTGGTCCTGTAATAATGTTGCAAATGTGCCATGAATGTTGCAAAACTCTCATGCGATTTTCGTTTTCCTCTCAATATTGTTAATTGCTAAGGGAGGCAGTAAGGACCGGAGAACCAAATGATCTGATAAATGAAAAGGTTGGATTTTATATTGTGTTCTAAACTTTGTCCAATATTACTTTGCTACAGAGTTTTGCATACAATTCCACCAAATGAAGCCATTGACACTGTGGAGGTTAGTTCATTGCCTCCTTGCTACATGCTGCATTGCTTTGAATGACTGATAATGAAATGTAGTATCATGTGATCAGCACATTGCTGCCCAGATAATTTTTCAATTAAGGGGGGTGTTTATCTCTCTTCATGCCTTCAAGCATCCTCTAATTACGACTAAACTGATCGTTTGGTCCTTCCTTATCAGGCAATGTTTCTATTTTTTTATGCTTTCAAGGAACAACGTCCTCTACTTCAATGCTTATTATAGCTGACACGTCAGTTATTGAATAATATTGGGGAAGAGAATTGATTTAATGGAGCAGGCTTATAATGTATGAGGTGGGGGATGGAAAGAGTAGATTATGGGTGAGAGAGACAGAGGGGTGATCATAGAAAGAAAAAGTCAGGTACTGATCACATAATGAGAATGGGGATGTGCCCGCCGCCCTTCATACTGGGACTGCAACTAACGTTTTATCAGTGGATTAAGGTCAAAACCTTTGCTAATGGGCCATGCCTGTAACACCACCCTCCCCTCCATCTAGATGCTCAGGGAGCTAGAATACTTTGGACAAATAAATAAAAAAAATCAAGGAAAATGGTCCATTTAATTCACATAAACGAAATCTTTCCTTGCCCATAATGAGTTCAACTAATGTCATCAGGGTTCAGCTGATTTGGTCAAAGTTTGGTCCACTAGTTGACAGCAGCAACCGTTTGTAACCCCTTTTCTTGCGCCGGAATTTGTTCGTCAGCATCTCAACAGAAAAATAAAAAATGAAAGAACATGGATTAATTAACAAGGCTCTGATATGATTTATTTCGAATATATATACTGATCAAGCAGTCTCCTCTCCGGTTTGTCCATTGTATAATATTATTAGATTTTTGTTATCTAGGAATCCAGTATGTATTATTGGATTATTTGCCCTTATTTGTTAGCTTTTTTGCTTTCATGTGCGCGAGAAAGTCTCCTAGCAGAGTAGCTTTTATCATTTGAATTTCTTTTTTGTTTTGCGCTGAACAATAGAATCATGTTCGAATGAGCAGGTCTTGCAATCGAGGGTGGATCCATCGTTCGTGTCATGGAAAGGTGGTGCGGTAAGATTATTCTTGGCATCTTGTTATTTTCGTGCAGTTCGCATGAACCCTAATATTTCTCAAGCAAATCGTGCCTGATCACGTCTCACGTCATTGGTCGGTCTGTTCCAACCTCCTTCAACGCGAGAGATGACATCAGATCAGGCCTTATTTCGGCTCGAGGTTTATTTATTAAGTATTAATTAATTTCCGTTTCCTGCATTTGCTCCTGTTGAAAAGTGATCAACTTCTATCAAGTTCTCCAGCCGTCTGCTCAAATCAATCCAACCCAAGGAAAGCCGAGTAGAGACTAGAGCACTGGTTCTTCTCACCACATCTTCTACACCAGCTTAGGCCCGCAAGGGACCAAACCTTAACCTGATTCTTCATCTTTCCAAGTCATATGTAGTCTCTGGAAGAAATGCGAGCGCGCTTTGCACCGTCCCCCCCATCCATCCAACTCTGGTTGGTTGGCATTTCCTAAGAGCTAATTTTTTTAATTGCATTAGTAGATGCTGTTTGCTGCCACGGTTGTGTTGCCCATATCCATCCATGTTCTTAGCATCTTCCAAGGAAAAAAAATAAATCCATATCAGTAGTGTGTGTGGCCCAGTCGGTTAATCTGATTTCGTCGCAGATCCTCGGCGTTCTGGACTTCGGCCGCGAGACCTGGATTCACCGCGAGGACTGGATCAAGAGCGGCATCCACATCGGCAGCGGCAGGAAGTACAAGGACTCGTATTATCTCCAAGCTCAAGCGATGGCCTTCATCAACTCCTAACAGGCATCGCCTCCCCCGCTCCCTCCTCCTAAACATCAAATCCCTGCCTTCGTACTCGCTCTCGGTGGTCGGTCTCTTCCCTCCCTCTCTGCGGGCTGGCTGGCAGAGCAATTCAATGGTGAAGGGTTGAATAATATTTTTACTTAAAAGAAGCAGTCGATGCAAACAAACCAAGAGATGCAGAGAGATAAATGCTGGGAACAATCCGAATGGTAGTGAGCAGCGCTTAAACGAGAGTTGTGCGGTTCCCCCAAGAGCTCCTCGAGACGGGAGTGATGCAGATAGATACTTCTTCAGCTTGCCAGCCAGATGGGTGGGGGGCTAGTGGCCTTTGCTGTCTGTGTATAAATCAGCTGTATAAATCGTCGTCGTCTGCACCGGCGGCAGCGGCGGTGGCGGTGGCGGTGGCGGCGGTCTCGGAGCGCTCTGCGAAGCGGAACTCAGTGCCGAAGCCGCGAGACTGCTGGAGCGTCTGGGCGAACGCCTGGTACTTGCGTATGTCGGCGTCGCTGACGCTCCTCCGCGCGAACTTCATGGACTCCTCGAAGTGGACGGCCTTGATCTCCGCCACCTCGTCCGCCGCGTCCTCCTCCATGGCCTCGGGGTTCTCGCTCCGCTTCCTCTCCCTCTCGATGTCCTGGACAGGAGGCAACATCCCGGTAAGGCATCACACGACGGCACCACCGCAGAGGAGAAACCAGAAAGAGGAACTGGTAGAGGAGGAAGATTCGGAGGTTCGTAGATCGAGAACTCACCTTCTCAATGTTTTCCCGGATCGCGTACTTGCAAGATCGTTGGCAGATCTCCGTGATGTCGGCGCCGCTGAATCCCTGTGTGTACTTGGCGAGCGCGGCCAGGTCGACGTCTTTCGAGATGGGAGACTTCCTCAGACACGCCTTGAAGATCTGGTACCGCGAGGCTTCGTCAGGTAGAGGAATGTAGATCAGCTGGTCCAGGCGACCTGGCCTCAGCAACGCCGAGTCTATGATATCCGGCCGATTGGTGGCGCCGATGATGAAGACCGTCTTCTTCGCCGACATTCCGTCCATCTCCGTCAGCAGCTGATTGAGAACCCTGTCCGCCGCCCCGCCGGCATCTCCAGAGCTGCTCCCCCTCTGTACACGACGGCAAGGATAGCGAGGTCGAGGTCGAGCTCGAATCAAACACCGGAGGAGAACGAATGGCGGCAGATACCAAACACCGGAGGAAAGGATGGCAATGCCGACCTGAGTGGCAATGGAATCGAGTTCGTCGAAGAACAGGACGCAGGGCGCAGATTGCCGAGCCTTGTCGAAGATCTCCCGCACGTTTGCCTCGCTCTCTCCAAACCACATCGTCAGGAGCTCGGGGCCCTTCACGCTGATGAAGTTCGCCTGGCACTCGTTGGCGATCGCCTTGGCCAGGAGGGTCTTCCCACAGCCAGGGGGGCCGTAGAAGAGAACCCCCTTCGAAGGGGACATGCCGAACTTCTCGAACTTCTCCGGGTGCTCGACCGGATATTGAACAGTCTGCAGAAATCGAGAGGATCAGAGGTTCGTGAGGGGCCAAAGGTCAGCCAAAGAACGCAAATTTGACTGATTTTTGGATGATGAACAACCTCTTGGAGTTCCCTCTTGACGTTCTCGAGACCACCAATGTCCTCCCAGGAAACATTAGGCACTTCGACAACCTGTTCATCAGAATTAGGTCAGACAAAGGAGGAAGAAGCAAAAACCACAGAGAGAGCAGAGCTCAGCAAAAATCCCTCGGCTACTCACGGTTTCACGAAGGGCAGATGGGTTGCTGGATCCGAGAGCAGTCTTGAAGTGTTCATTCGTAACAGCCATAGAGTTCAGTATCTCGGCATCAATGGATTCGTCTTCTAAATCGATGATATCCATCTTCTCTCGGATGCACTGGAGCGCAGCTTCAGTGCACAGAGCGGCGAGGTCGGCACCAACGTAACCGTGCGTGTCCTTGGAGATTCTTTCCAAATCAACCTGTGCAGAAAAATAATGTGAGACAAGGAAGAAGGAACGGATATCAAATACAGAGCAGAGGAATGCCAGAAGGATCACATCATCAGAGAGCTTCATGTTCTTGGTGTGGATGCGAAGGACCTCGAGCCTCCCGATCTCATCTGGGACACCGATGTCAATCTCTCGGTCAAATCTACCAAATCGTCGCAGGGCTGGGTCGATGCTGTTGGGCCGATTGGTGGCCCCGATCACAATGACGTGTGCCCGAGACTTCAAACCATCCATAAGAGTCAACAGCTGAGAGACAATGCGCCTCTCGACTTCTCCGTTGGTCTTCTCTCGCTTGGGTGCGATAGAATCGATCTCGTCGATAAAGATGATCGAGGGGGCGTTCTTCTCCGCTTCCTCAAAAGCCTTCCTGAGATTGCTTTCACTCTCTCCAGCCAGCTTGGACATGATCTCGGGGCCGTTGATGCAGAAGAAGAATGCACCTGTCTCATTTGCGACTGCCCGAGCTATCAACGTCTTCCCAGAACCAGGTGGTCCGTAGAGGAGGATTCCCTTGGGCGGTTTGACACCAATTGACTTGAAGAGCTGAGGATGCCTGAGGGGGAGCTCAACCAGCTCCCTGATTTGAGCCATCTGCTTTCTCACCCCGCCCACATCGTCATACCCAACCTCGTCAAGTCTGTCTTCATCTTCCCTCTTTACGGGTTCCCCATCACAGAAGATCTCTGTGTCGGGAGCAACCACACAGTACTCTGCTGGGTCCGTCTCAATGACCTTGAACTCCACACTTCTCATCCCCCCCCTCACAAGGAAAAGATCGCCCTTCCTCACTGGACGATATGCTTCCAAGAAGTAAGCTGCACCAGAGGGGGGACAAAAATCACGACCAATATATCATCATCGTTCAGTCAAGAATTCAGCAGACACAAGACACAAGGATGGGCACTCCTCACGATTTTAGCCTTTTAAACAAAATGTCAGTGACTTATTTTTATAACAAGAGCAGTAAAGAAAATAATATCACATGAACAGCAGACACGGAAGTGGAAAAATACAGACAGCCGATATCGTTAGTTTCCATGGGATGAATCGAGGCTAGAAAAATCGTTGAGAAATCTTGGCTGATTCCAAAACAAGGCAACGAGAAAGTTGGAAACAGTGTGGAATCATGCAGATTTGATGGACACTGTTCTGTCTAGCATGATTCTCATGCCTAATTTGTACAAACTTGGTTGACCCCTAACTGATATTTTAACTGCTGAGGGCAAACCCAGAAGTGACTGGGCAAAAAACCGATCCCAGTGCAGAATAAGAGTGAGCTGCAATAGAAAATGAATAACTTATCATGCAGCATTGGATAGGAAACCGTAGGAAGGAATATTATCAATAACTGCATCCTAAGATCATAGCAGTAATGACTTTTTCTGGAAAGTATCACTTTCAATTTCATTTTAAGTGATGATGAAAATCCGACAAACAACAAAAGCACCCATAAACAGAATAATGTGAGTATTCAACTGATCCCCTTGGGAGTGAAGGTTCTAAGAAAAAAACTCAAAAGATTAAGTCATTTAAATTAACAGAAATATTATGGCGCAAGAATGCGGGTAAAAAATGTGATGGTATGTGACCAAACTAGAACCGTCTAGATAATTCACAAATGTGAACAAGAGCAAGTGAGAGAGAGGGGGAAAGAAGGGGAAGGAAACTTTGACTCTTTGAAGGTTCTCAGTCAAATAAAATTTCCATAGATTAGAGAGGACTACTGTGTACATTCAGAACTAGCAGCATTCTAAGTGTGGAAAATATGTGTAAAGCTTTGCAAGAATGTTGTAAGGTAAAGGGTCTGTGTGCAGTAGAAATATGCGAGCTAATTTTTAAAAAATCATATGCAAAAAGCCACACTATAAAATTACAAATTTGCAAATGCAAGGAGAAAGTGCATTTGAGAGAGCAAGTCTGTAAATGTGCTTGGCCATCACTTGACCGTTCTTGAACAACATTTCAGCTGGCCATTAACTGGGTTAAAGGGCAAAACTTCGTGTACGAGGATAGAAGAATAACTTTGCATCTACCAGGTAGACTATTCTTCAAAGAGCACATTATGAGAATGCTCTAAGAAGAGACACTAGCATTGTCATCATGGAGCAACTAGGCAACTCCAGTTCTTCAAACAACGTTTTATTATTTCATTGGAATACATCGGACGTTTCACATAATTTATACGTAGCCATACCTACCTTACATCATTACACTACATATGCGTGGGTAATTAACCATAAACCTTAATAATTATGCTAATTATATCCAGGAAACCTCCACTTTTCAGAGATAAATAATTTTCTATTTAAATAAATTTAGATTCAGCAGAAATCTTTGATGATAAACACTCCACGCATGGACAAAAGAAAAATACACAAACTCAAAATAAAAATAATTTAAATATTTATCTAATCGATGGTTATACATTTACTTATACTTTGAAAATTTGTACAATCAGCCAACGAGAAGAATCAGTCAAGTAGCTGAAAATGATACAGGAAAGAAACGAAAAATTATTATCCAAGTATTATCGCACAGATTGTCCTATGAGAACAGGCAACTGTATGTAAAACCCAACTATGTGTTGATTCCAGAGTAGCGATAAAATTTTCGCACAGAACAAAGTTTGCAAACATCTTTCAAAAACAACAACTTTCAAAAACACTTTAAAACATTACACTTGATAAAGACTTGATAAGCACTTGATAAGCAACAACTTTCAAAACCCCATGGTCTTCAGTCACCCATTTGATAGAAGCATAAAAGAGCAATGCAAGATAAAAATGCTATACATGAGATCTTGACATATTCAAACATGGGAGGGATCATCAGAAGAAGAAACACAAAATCTACATTTGAGATGAAGAATAATGCCCCTCCTTACATCACAAGTGAGAAGAAGATCTGTAGAATAAAGAGGCAGAATGCACGAAAAACATTCCAGGTTCACTTACGTTTCAAATAGGCATCAAAAAGATTCCCTGTTATGCCCTCAATGGTATCATCTATGGGCAGTATGTGTACTCTTTTTCCATATTTAACGTCTTGGCATTGGTGCACAGAGACCACATCACCAAGCCGAACCCTTAAGTTAGACCGAACAACCTTGTTCATTCTGATCTTAGGTTCATCGCACGTATCATCAGCAAGTGCAATGCAAATGGTATCCTTTCTCTTCTTTCCCTGAAATTACATGCAAAATTTTATCAATAAAAAGATTTAGTACGAAATTTTTTTTAAGGAAACGCCAAAAAATAAAAGAGCAAAAAAAAAAGTGCTGCTCAATCATAAAGCCTTGTTTTGAAATAATAAATAGAAACCGGAAAAACATCACCACCAACCTTCTCATGAACATGGGATCAGCTAGCATGCAAAATCCAAGTTGACAAAGACAATGATTGGTGGAAATATGAAACTGCTGGGGCATCTGGTAAGTATACTTTATGTCAACCTTGCTTAATTCAACAAAGCTTTCATAAGGAGTCTTCTTCTCCCAAGACCATCAACTTGGCACTCCCTATTTACACACTAGAATATACTCACCTTCAGTACATCTACAAAGTTTATTATTATTCGTAAAAAACAATAATAAACTGGTTTTCTTATCCATACTATTTTCACTGACACTCTTCCCAGTTTCTTTTCGAATGATCCTCAACGGCGTGACTCCAAGTCCGTAGACATGTCCAAATGGGGACACAACTGTTTAAAATTGCACAGCTGACAATTTTTCTATCGTCACAGCCTGTTAACTTAGCACTAACCTGATCATGTAAACGGACGTTACCAAGTCATTTCATACCAATTCAGAATCTAGATCAAAACCGACCCTACGCAAAGGAAAAGGAATATGGAATGGGCATGGAACGTAGAATTGTAAGTTCATTCGCGGTCTATTGCATCGGCGACTATAATTGCCTGGTAACCATCATACCCAACAATACCAGAAGATCCGAAGACTAGCCCGTGACCATGAACATCCGTCCAACTAGAGTCGCAGATTGTACATCATCCATCCATTTCGACTATCCCCGGTCAAGAGATCTATCAAGATCATACGACGGAGGAAACGGATAGACGAGACCCAAACTTGTAATCACGATTGTCTGCCCAACTTCAACATCTGATCGGAAACAATCCAGCGATATATACGAAGCTCGCTGAATTCCAAAAAACCCTAATTTTCCGCAAACTTATTTCTAGGGCTCCTCTAAAAGATAAAGGAAAAAAAAGGAAAAAAAAAGGAAAAAAAAAGGAAAAAAATGGCGGCATTAGCCATTACCTTGATGAGGATGGTATCCCCCCGGAACAGCTGCAGCTTCTCCATTGTTTCCGGATGCATCGCAACCACCGAGTTATCGTCATTGACCGCTTCATCCACAACCAGTCGGTTTGGGGACTTCTTTCGCTCCAAGATCGCTGTCGAGAAATCCCTTTTCGTGCCCTTTCTGCAGGGAAAAGAGGACGAGTATTATTTCCAAGAGAAATCAGAAAATTGGTCCGAAAATTAAAATGAAACTCGGCATTCGATAAGGATATAAGAAACGCTTACGAGTCCGAAGCGGCCGAAGACGACTCTCCCTCGTTCGTCATCTTGATGGCTTCTACTGCACAAAAGGAGGCAAATCAAGCGCAAGATGAAGGGAGATTCCTCCGATCGGTTCCCCGAAGAGAGAGACTACGAAGATCTCTCCACGGAGGGCCGGAAGTCCTTATTTATAGACATTGGGGCCGTGGAGTTTTCCTTTCGGTCTCCTCCACCGTACGCGCGTGCATCACCAGTCACTGCTTACCTCCATCTGCGCGTTTCCTCCTTCGTGGATAAATCTCAGCTGTTGAATTCTGATCTGACGACAGAAGTCACACCTCGACGCTGTGAGAGGCTCCCGGGTTCTTTCGTGCGAAAGAAGAATAGAGCAAACACCCAACCCCTCGTCGATCAGACGGCAGAAAACTGCGCCGTTGGCGGATATCACAGTGCGAACCATCTACGGGCTTCCAGAACATTCCCAGCTCCCAACTACTCGCCCAGTAATCCTCTTCGCACGGCTCGGCCGGCAAGAAATTTATTCCAAATTAGGAAAAAACAACAATATTAATTAATTAAAACATTTTTTAATAAATAATTTAATCGGGGACATTCGACTCATTAAATCCACGTCGGCGGGGATCTTATTATTATGAGATGGACGGGACTTTATTTGGCGACTGGTGACTTCGGTGAATTTACCTCACGTGGAATTAATTTGCTGCCCCCTGCCAACTAATTCTGGCACGTGCTGGGTGAAGAGCGCACTCTGTAAATTTCTCTGGGTTTTAATCAAATTATGCATCAGAGCAATGCCCCCCATTTTCTTGTAATAATGAGGGCTTATTTTTTAGTTTTTTTATACACGCAACAAAATTACCTGCCGTCTTTGTTTTATCGAAGGGATCGGCCGCTCGGAGTGCTCCCATGAAAGAGCATTTTGTTAATTTACCCATGAAAAATTAGATTATTTCATAATTGACCAGAGTTAAACCTATATTTTGACTTATACTCTAGATATTGGCCCTTGGCACCGACCATGTTAACCACGGTTGGGCGAATTAACCAAGGTAGAGTTAATTACGAACGTTGAGGATGACTCCCTTCCGGTACCGAAAAAAAAGAAAAAGGAAAAGAAAAGAAGAAAGGTGCACCTTTGGCGCCTATATCCGCAGTTCCTCCAAGGTTCGGATATCTCAGTCTCTCACTCGCCATCTTTTCTGCTGGATAGGTGTGGATTTGCGCTTGTCCATTTCGCGATGCCGGAGGTCTAGCTTAGGAAAACCCGCATTCCGTCGGCTGAACAGTCATGGCAGTTTCTTGTCGGTGAGGGGTAAGCTTGAAAGAGCATTTCGTCTGGAAACAGTGCGCAATCCTCGCCGTCTTTTTCACACTGGAGTGTTTCTTTAGTTTAGTTATCTTTTGAGTGCGATATTTTATGGCTTTACCTTTATCTTTCTTTCTGCGAGGAAAGTCATGGGAGTCCATTCGTCATCCTGTTATCTAAGATCACCACATACGGCTAATTGCAGGTTCAGGTTCCTGATTTTTTTCCCCCCACATTTATGATTATCATAAAGGACAAAGTTTAGAATGCTCCAACCTGGTCTCGACATCTGTCTGCGCGTTTATTGCTTTCTTTTTTCCCGTTTTCACTTTTATCTTTTCACATGGTAAAACGAGTTTTAATTCTGTGTGGTCTTTTATTTTCATCTGAACCTGACTACATTTTCTTTGGATATACTCCTACTTTATTTATAGGTTTTCTTTGAGATTTCTAGTATTTCTCACCATCAGGCGAACCTCGTAAGACCTTCACATAGTTAACGATTTATCGGGGGTTCGTGTTTTATTGCACAGTTATTGCTGTTTCATTTTTATTCGTCGGAGCTCAAATTATCCACGTGCTTTTTACTTCCCCCATAAAATGCACATTAATATTTTCCTCTTGATCTTAATGGATTTTTCTTTTTCTTGTCTTTTGTCCTCTTTCAGTTTGCTTGCGTTTTTCTCCGTTTTATTTGAAAGACTTTATTTCTATGCATTTTTCGTTGAAAGATGCTACTTTTATGTTTCACGTGATTTTTTGTACTGCTTTCCTGTTCTTTTGAGTTCAAGTCTTAAACATGGTTTTCAGCCTCGAGGACGTTATATCTTAAGGATTTTATCTTTTTACGAGTTTTATGTCCTTTTCTTATGAATTTTTCATTTTTCTGTTTCACTTGGTCTTCTCCTATAGTTTTCAGAATGTGTTTTATTCTCGTCCATTTCTAATTTATTATCGAAAGATTTTTGCGATTTCAGGAACTTCCCTCGTCAGATAAACTGCACTAGTTTTGGCATTGATAGCATTCTGAGGCATCTGGTGTTTACTTCATTGTGACTGCTGCTTCTTTTCTTTTCTTTGGAACTCATGATCTGGCTATGATTCTCCATGTGTATGATATGCTTTCTTATTTCCATATTTTAATTTCATTTTCGTGTCTTCAACGCCGTCTTCATTTCCACTTAAGTTCGCTATTGCTATTTTTACTATCAGACATTTTTTTCTCTGTTTGATTTTGAATAACTTTTGTTCGGCGTTTGTCTTTCTTTCTTCTGACGATGCTGTTTTTGATATATACATCTCACCTTATTTTTTTATGTTTTTGAGCTTGAGAGACGCAGATGGTGTCTACCGCTGATAAACACTATATTCAATGATTTCCCTGCTTGATTTTTTTATCTTCTGTGTTTCTCTCCTTTTCTAAAGAGAATTTGTTTTATTAATACTTCTCTTTATCTTCTTCTTCCTGATTTTGACCTGAATATGTGTCGTCTTTGTGTCATTTGTTTTCTGCTGAAAGCTGTCTCCTTGGTGTTTGCGTCTCAATTTTTAATTTTTTTTTTCTTTCTCCTTTGAAGCTCTGGTTTAAACTATCTCATTTTTGCTTCTTCTTATGTCATTAATTTGAAGGTCAATATTTTTGGGACTCCCCTAAAAGTTGTGCATTTTCATGTTTCCCCTTTTGAATTTATGCGATTTGGTTATGCAGGGCAGTCATTGACAACAAGGGGGATTTGATTGAAGTTCGGAAATTATTAATTTGAAACACTTCGTTAATGATTTGGAAGGGCGATGGCTCAGCTCTTGAGGCCAATTGGTCATTCCCCTTCAGTGTCCTGTGCCCCACAGGCGCGAAAGTCTCCTTGCACTGGGAGTTTGTTCAAGAGGAATGACATTGGATTCCAACGTCATGGTAACCTCCTTCTATGCGCTCCATTGAGTGTGCTGATCAAGGTTATTCTGCTACTTATTTTTTAACTTGTGTTTCTTTCTTTTTGGTATACTCTCCAGGTGGCAGGTATTCTGCTTGTGGGAGTTTCAGATTTAACTTGTCCTGCAAGAAAATTACAGATTTCAGCAAGCATATGGGTTCTGAGAAGTTTTGTCCTCCACAATACAAGGTGCTCATCTAATTTTTTATGTTTTTTTGTAAATGCTTTCCGCCATTCTGCCTTAGTGTCATTGTTGAGAACCTCGATAACATTGGCAGTGTCTGGGAGACAGTAGCTGGTTGACTTTCTGTTTTAGTTGTTGATGATGATATTGGGTTGAATGATGCATTTATATGAAATATTGTTTGAATCAATACATGAGAATTTTTTACTGGAATGGCTCAGCATTGGGAGCTGCAAAGGTGTTGTGGGAACACTCTGTTGGGACTATTATGCTGTTGAAGCTGGGACACCGCATTCTAATTGAAGAATTTCATTACACAAGCCACGGAACAGACATGACTTTGCTATTTACTTGTCTATTCCTAGTACTATTCTATTTGAGTTTTAACTAGAGGGAAAAATAGATGTGGACGTTAATAAAGTTCATTTTTTCCCTTGAAGTTCAGTAGTGCTCTTCTTATGATAAATGAAATGCTGAAGTCATAATCACTGCGATCTAGAGGAATCGTATGTTGCTACTAAGAAGACAAAAACCATCAACATTCTGGGGTTAGGAAGGGTCGGCTGAAAGACCAGTAATCGCTCTCCCATCTTTTTCTTTCATAAAAGGACAAGATCAAGTGTTTGTTGTGGCAATTGGGACATGCCCTATGTGAATAAAGTTAATTCAAAATGGAGAATCACCAATATGGGGTCCAAGACTGGTCACGCCTTGTAGGTGATGTGATCATGTACTCTAGAAGGATCAATGTGGTTGACCTTGTGTTTGAATGTGCCTTTCGTTATAAAATATTTGATGACATTATCGTGACTGGAGATGATCTTATCTGTAAATAACCAAAGGAAAGACAAGTCTATGTTGGCAATATTTTGGTGCTTAGTTTTGTGATTGTCAGCTTGCTTATGCTTGTTGTTATTTCAATTATATTATCATTGTGCGAACCAAAACCTGATCCTTCTTCTCCTTGTCTATTTTAATTGCATGCAAGACGAATTTTATTTGCCTGATTGACATGTAATGAACAGTACAAACTGAGCCGGATTTTCTTTTGGTCACCATGGGATTGCCATGAACTGCCGTGAACAGTGGTGCAAACCTTGGGGGGATATGCAGAGGAAAAACTCAACTCGTATTTACATCATAGATGACTGCTAGGTACAAGTACGAGGGTCAAAAAACAAGGAAACTGTCTAACAACTAGAAAACCGATGAACTAGGAAATGAACTGACAAATTAGGAAGTTGTCCAACTAAGAGTTGAACTCCTAATTATATATTCTTTTTCACAGGAATGTTCAAAATTCATGTAGTTCGAGATTGAATTTGGGGATGAGTGCTTTATCTCTTTTACAAAGAGAGCAAAATTGAATGATATTGTGAAAAATACCGCACATTTACTCTTATTTCATGCTTTAAAGCGAATGTACAGTATTTATATTGCAGTATGTTCATTCCTGACGCATAAAACTCTCCATTATTCTTTTATCTAGCTTAAAATATTACCCAAATTTTATCATGGGTATTGTTAAACAAGTTTTTCATCTGTCATCTCATTGATAAGTGAGCTGATTATTTGTGTGTGCATTATATTGAACTGAAAATTCTTGATGTGGTGTCATAATTCTACTCAGACCAAAGATTCTGATGGTGATGCATTCAGTCTCCTACAAGTTCAGACCCTTAGAAATTTCCCCAGGGAAAAACTTGCCGGAGAAGTTGTTGCTGTGCGCTTGGATTCCACTCTAATTCACAACACATCACCCCTGAATGATGGCTCAGCTAATAAAGCCCTGCACACCATCAAATATTTACATGATGCTGGTGCTAAAGTGCTTTTACTCAGCAGTTGGGATTATTCAAGTAACCCAGATCTTCTTTCAATAGATTATTTTGCAGGTTGCATATGTTTGACGAGTTTGATTATTTTTCCTCTATGGTTTTCCTTGATCCATATGTTTGACGAGCTGGGGTCTCTCTTTATCGTCAATAATTTCACTTGGCCACTTATGTTTCTTTTACCAAACTGTTTCAACCAACCCATCACATATGTTCAATGATATCTCCTCCAAAAAGAATCCAATTATGGCAGTCTTTCAGTTAACTGAAACTTTTAAGAGAATAGTATCTTTTAAGAAAACATAGGTTATGCCTCTTGCTAGTTTAATAGCATCACCTTGAAAATTAAACCCTGTAATGTAAAATGATATACTTGTATTTCAACTGATCTCCTGGAGTTTACCCGTGTCATTATGTACAACTGAGATTGGGCAGAAATGCGGCATCCTAGCATAAAGTAGGGAAATATCATATATATTGTGTTTAGAAAAACGTGTTAGTGATTCTATTTTGGCTTGGACAATTGAACTTCAGTTCTGGTGACATTTTGGTGCTTTTCATTGATTTCCTTCTTTTCTTTGCTCAGATCATATATCATCAGTTCTTCAGCTAAGAGTACTTCGTGCAAGTGGTTTTTCTGATATAATTCAGTCAAAGACAGAAGAAATGAGGGATGGAGATATTCTCCTTTTTGAGAATCTAGCAAAATTTAAAGAGGACCTAGCTAATTGTTTGGACTTCTCCAAGAAGCTTTCAGCTGGAGTTGGTGTTTTTGTGAATGATGCTTTCTGTCTAGCTCATAAGATTTATGCATCTACTGTCGGCATCTCTCGATTTTGTTATTCATCTGTTGCTGGTTTCCATTTCGAGGAAGAATTGAACAAGCTTGCAAGCATTGCAGAGACCACTGAACGACCGTACATAGCTGTTGTACGCCCCTGCCTTTTTAACTTAATATTCTGATGAACAGATGACTGAAACTACAGAAAGATGATATGGTCTCATTAATTTTGAAACTTTGGTTCAATGGTGTGAATTTCTGTTGTATGATGTGAAGTTGGAGAGATGCTGTATTAGCCTATTCTATTAGCCTTCTTTGGTGAATGATCCTGCAAAAAATATTTGAAAGCGCGGGGAAGAAGCATGAATAAAAAAAGGGAAGGAAAAACCATAGAGATAAAACGAGAAACGAGTAACTGAGTTGGAAATTCTTCATTGATGATAGAAGGTACATTGCGGCCAGGGCTCTGGTGGGGGAGATCGTTCATCCTCTCTAGTATTTTCTCTCTCGTTCTGCTTTAAATCTTGTCATTGATGCGAAAATCCTCCCTTTCCCTTGGTTTCTGAATCCATTTTTTAGGCCAATAAAATTGGCTCTACATATCCAGTGAGTTAGTCAGATTGGATAATAATGGGTGAGGATTTGACGAACGTTTGCAACAATTAGTCGGAGAGATGTTTTTCATGGATCTAGAATGTCTCCTGCTGTCTTTTGGCTGAATTGTTTTTTTCCCATGGCTTTCTCGAAAGGATTCCTAGTTTATCTAGACTCTCATCTTTGATTTAACTTGACGTTGATAAGTCAATGAGATAACTTTCTTGTTATGACACCTGAAGCCCCGTGTATCAATCAATCTGAAATTCGGGTTATGCTTTTGAATAGCAACCTGGCTTTCTTGTTAGTCGATCATGTATCTTGTTTGTTTATTCTCACGATAAATATATCTGGATTTAATTATGTGCGATCTGAAACTTCAATGCTGCAACTCGGAATATAAATGTGCCTCATTTGGGCCATTCAACATGCTTTAAAATCAACACTCTCCCAAAAATTAAGATAGGAAATTTATTTTTCCGTAGCTTCTATGCTCAAGGTTTTCTCAACGGTCTATTTTTTATCTTGACATCAGTTCTTTTTCTTCGTGGGAAAGTGTGCTATTTCACTTGTTGATCATGACATCAGATTTGAAACTTTACTTGTTACCTGTTCTGAACTATACGATAGTTCGTATTCACTTAATATTAGCTTTGTTGCCAGTTGTGTTCAGATTGTAAATTAAATGAGCTCATTATTTGGCTAAGTCTTATTACTGGTTTGTCCCTAAATATTTATCCAAATTTATGCAGATTGGAGGAAAAAACTTTCTTGAAAAGAGAACTGCTTTGCGTGTTCTAGCCACAAAATGTGATGGTCTTATGCTTATTGGTAAATTGTCATTTCAAATAATGCATGCATTGGGAATGTCTATTCCCATGAATTTGATAGAGGATGGTGCTGTTGATAAGGCATTTGACTTAATTCAGTTTGCAAAGAAGAGGGGTATGGATATTATTTTTCCAGATGATTTTCGATGTGTGAATGACGAAGATCCTGAAGTGATGGATGTATTTTCTTCTGATGGGATCCAGCCAGGTACACTAGCTTCCTCTCTTTTTTGCCCACTGTTTGACTGTTTCCTACCCTTAACATGTTTCTTTGCTTGGAATATTTAGTTTTGCTTGGAAAATAAATGGTCTGTTCCTTTTGGAGCTTGTAGCTATAGCATCCACATTCATATACTAGACGGAGAATAATCTCTAGGATTTGATGCAACACTGGCTGTCTACGGATCATTTCCTCATTATCTTCATTTATTCTGACACGTACTGATGATTACCTCTGGTGTTATGCTTCTGATTATCGCTGTATTTCTTATCAAGTTACAAGCATATGAGTGATTCCCAAAACTGATTTATAGTATAAAACCCCCTTGAACAATTGGTCTTTGTATACAATGTATCAATGTGCCCGTATCAATATGTGCCTGAATTTACGATGCCACAAACCACGAAAGAATAGAGATGGAAAGTCACGAAACTTGTCATGACATAAGGCCTATTTGCGATATCATGGTAATAAATTTTATCTAATTGTCCTGGCTAAGAAAACCCTGGTCAGTAAGGAAAAATGATCTGAGAACATAAACGCCTTGTTGTTGGTCCAAAATACCCAAAAGACAGTCTGGTGACTTCCGTTTCTGTTCAAGCCAAACCAAAGCCACTATCAGCTAATCCGAAGCAAAAAATAATTAGTACAGCTGCCAAGCTTGTCAGCCCTCCTTCAATGAACTAACTCTTGGTCTATGTCCGAACAGTTCTTGAATAGGAATTATCTGGACATCATTGTATCCGATAGAAAAATCCTGTTGTGTCTGGATATTTTCACCATATGTAATTTTAGCTTTTTAGCAGAAGGAAATAATAGAGACCTGAGTGAGCAAGTGATTGATCGGATGATTGATAGTTTCTCTGTGAGTTTTATTTGGTTAAAAATTTCGAAGAACAATGTAAAGTACGAGGAGATGGTAGAGGCAGAAGAGCAAGCCTTTGAATGGATAGTTGGCTTTTTCATCGTAAGGCTTACAAGTTTAAGATTAGTAAACAGAAATGTGAAAGTATGAAGATTGTTGAGCAGACAATGGGCTTTTTTGTGAAGTTATTGGTTGAAGAATAGAAAACAACAAGGTAAAGCTTTGTCCCTGTTGCTTTATCTTGTCAAATACTCTTTCTCTAGTTTAACAAATCAAATGCACGTTTTTTAGTTTCATGCATTTCTCTCTCTTCAGGTTGGACACCTGTGGATCTTGGACCAGTTTCCTTACAGAACATTTCTTCTAGGCTTTTAAATTGTAAGGTTGGGCTAGATACTCTTACAAAACACTTAATTTCTAGCATTGATTACGATTGGTTTATTGTATCTTGTTAGATTGCTGTTAGTTCGCTTGTCACTATCTTAGTATAAGAACCTTAGTATCTTATGACCACTGGTATCTTATGATTGAAAATAGTAGTCATTATTTATCATCATAATGATGTATTTGTGATATTTGATGATGCATATGTACTATTGATGAAAAATATGATGACGACAATTGCATAGGCTTAAGTTTTCTTCAACGTTTTTCTTCTAGGTTCATTGCTTTAGGCTGGAATGAACAATTAGTTTCACTTAGGTAATATCCCTCCATCGCCATGAATTTTTTTACGAGAATATACAGCTGAAATGTTTATAACATTTAAAGTAGAGCTTCCATGAACTTGGAATGTGAGCTGCCTATATGAGACCTTGATATAAATATCTTGAAAATATAGTTAATTCTCCATAGATATAAAATTTTCGTGTAGATGGTCTTAGCATGATGTTATGAGTAATCTTCGTCTATGACAGTACGTACTTATTTTTGGAGCTTAAAATAGTCAGTGGTAGTTGTTCCGATAGTTAATTGTGAGAAAAATAATTATCTCGTAGGGTGCTGTAGTGCTTTAGCTTTTCTTTATTTGTCATGTAGTGCCAAAGTTGCGACAAACATGAGTTTTCTCATGAGTTAACTCTTGTAGAAAAAAGAGATGCATAATTATGCAAACAATAAATCTCAAACTCTCATGAAACTTTGTCATGGGTCAGTATGAAATATTCGGAATAATTTAATATTCACGTACTAAAGCTTGGCAATGTGAAATCACCCATTATCATTATGCTGATTTTGTCAATATCAAAATAAGGAGGGTTCTGAAAGTCAACAAAATGTTGTAATTCAAATTGTATGAATTGTTGCATCAATTAGGTTGGGATCCTGTTGGCCAAATTGGTAAATGTGGGGAAATAGCCTGGTTTGGCCATTCGCTAGTATGCCCCGGATGAGATAATGAATATGACTGGATGAAAATCAGAATATGACTTTTCACCATGAATTAGCAAATATAGTCTAGGCTATTCTTGTGGCAATCTAAAATTTTGAGAATTATTTTTTCAGTGACCACTCAATATCAGAAGAATCTCAACAAACTTAATATGAAAAATGCCTCTTAAATATAAATCTCCAAGAAGTAGAAATCTTGGTGTAGTGCCCACTTATATATACTATGCAAGAAAAAGTGCGTAGGTTGAAGAAAGTTTTATTTGGATTAAAGTTATTTCCACGAGCTTGATATGATATGTTTCAAAAAGTCAATCATTTTTGGTCATACAGAGATCAATGATATCTAATAAATTTAAGAGCAAGAAACAGAGCTTTGTATCGTAATTATTTATAATAATCTTATGGTGATCACAAGTGATGATGACGAGACGAGACGATTAAAATACTAAAGATCAAGCTTACTAAATAATTTTAAATTAAAGATCTTAGTAACTAAAAATACGTTTTTGGTATTGCAGTAACGAAATCTAATATAGGTATTCATAAATACATGAGAAAATATGTAACGAATATTTTGCCAGGATCTGGCAAACTTAGATAGAAATTAGTTGGAGCTCCTAGTAAAGTGAGTGACTATATCGAAAAAAGGTGCATTTTTTTCTCATGTTAACAAAAGTTCCTTATCGGAGGCTTTCGGTTAAACTTTTATGTTTAATTCTTACGCCACCAGACATTACTTATGTTATGAGTATTTTAGTCAATTTGTTCGTTCGTTTAGGCGCCCATATGCAGGTTATGAATAAGTTTATGCGGTACATCAATTTAAATATAGGTAGAAGCATAATAAGTTTCGTTTCAACACTGATGAATTAAGGGATATTATGATGTTGATTGTGCTGAATTCCATGGTGATTAAAGATCTAACATATGTTATTGTTCCTATCTCGGTGAGAACCTCGCGAAATGGAATCAGGAGATAAACATCTGTTGCTAGATTTCGTGTTGAAGCAAAAAAAATTAGTTTTGACCAAGGTAATCTAGTTTTGATTCAAGACATTGGTATCCTAATCTATCCTCGATTGAAAGGTTATTATGATAAGAAGACTACTAGAAAGGTTGCTAATAATCTTATCTAACACTGTAGAGTTAAGGATATTAAGATAGCTCGTCTCTTTCTTACAGAGAAACTTCATTTTGGAGCATTCTTTATTTTTTATGTTCTTCCAGAAATTCAATCTGCTGATGTGTTTACCAAGGTTTTCTATTGAATAAGGGTAAGCATACATGATATATAAATGGTTTGATTGCGAGCTATCTATAGACCACTTAGATCTACTTTGGGCCCAATAAATTTGAACTGTTAAATTATTTATATTGTCGCTCTTGATTGTGTGAATAAAGTGACAAAGCAATTCTCTCCAGTGTCAGCACCTAAGGATTGTAGGTGTTGCTTCATTCATTCTCTCTTCTATCTCAACACCTAGCATTTACTAGATGTTGTTTGATCCTCCCCTCAAATCTCAAATTCCCTAGATTTCTTCAATGCTACCCTTATAACGCATCTTTACACTGGTGGGATGCCTCTTGTTCTGGTACCCTTGTATTTCTTGTTTCTAAGATTGATGGAATGTTTACATGTAATTACAACTAGAGTTGTAGATTTAGTTGACTTTTATCGTATTTCATGTTTATTTCTAATAACAGCATGACCTTGTTCACTTGTGGCACGCAAAAGTTGGGTTGCTTACGATTCTGGCTGTATCTTTAGTCCACGTTGTTATTACATGCTGTGCACTAGCAAAGCTGATTAATTGATATAAGTACGCTCTTTGTTGCAGAAAGTTCTGCTGATTGGCCCGATGACATTTAAAGCCTGTGAAGAAGGTGCTGTAGGAGTATCCATGCTGTCCAAAATTCTTGAAAAGATAAGTGGTACTGGCTGTGAGGTATCTGTCGTTGGAAATGCAAGCTACAAGTCTCTTGTGGGTCCTGGAGATGGGCCATATTCTTCATTGCCGTATAAACATTTTGAAAATGCATCTGTCGTATGGGAGTTTCTCAAAGGCCGAGCACTGCCTGGTGTTGCAGCATTAGATAGAGTATGTTTATTCAGTTCTTATTTATCAATTATAATTCAGTAACATCACGCCAGCTTGAAGACACTTTTCTGAATGTTACGGGTTTGGCATTGCAGTAAAATTTCTCTAAACAATGTGATAGTTATCATTCTTATATATTTTATTAACTCTCCTTTCACTACCTCATCGTTTTCGGCACTCTTTGGTTCACATATAGAGGAATATGTTGATTGTAGTACTGACCTTTAGTTTTTCTGTTTCTAGTTGTTTGGATGAGAAAATTTAGTGATTTAAGTGTAGTAAATATGTACATGTTCTTCGGGGATGCTAGATTGGGTGCTGAAAATACCTGTTTCTCAAGTATGTTTATAGTCATCTAGACGTCAAAACTCCTTGTCTCTCTGAGCTTGTATGTTGCATAATCTTTGTGATGATTATTTTTTGATTTATTTTCAGGCATTCCCCTTTGAGATTGATTGGGAGTCCATTTTTTATGACCCTACCCAACCTTTAGTTGTCGATGTCGGAAGTGGTAATATTTCAATTAACTTAATTTCTGCTGCTTTTTATCGTTATGAAAATTGTTTAATTATATCTGGATCTTAAACCATGGGCTTTCATCGTACTTGAATAAATGATGCTACATTTCTTATGAAGCTGCTGAGCTTCTCTTTATTTGTATGTTTCTCTTCTCTGAGTGGAACTCTCCATTGTCCAAATTTTCCATCTCTAGGATAACCATTTTTCTTAAGTGTAATCATGACAAAGATTGCACCTATTCAGATCTAAGAAATTGTGTTTGTTGTAATTGAATGTCTGGCTAGGAGCAAATTACAAGGGAGACACATACGTTTTTCCAAAGTTCAAATAAAGGTTCAAAAGGTCATGAATGAAGAATAAATCACATTATGGCAGCAATATCTTAAAGTTGTCCGGCCAAACTATAAACTTACTCTACTCTCCTTGTCTTTCTTTAGAAGTCTTATAGGTTACCTTTGACACGTATGTGCTAGTTATCTAAAAATCTCTATCAATATTGAAAGTCAAGCGTTTCTCAAAAGAAAGCTTGCTCAAATACTCAATAGCCAAAACATCAATCAAGTTGACAACATTCAACGATGCTAAAGACAAATTTTAAAGGCACATTGGATGACTTCACAAATTCTGAAGAATGCTAGAGTTAAGGTTGAAGCCTTGCTTCACTTGGAATTTTCATGCTACTTTTTGATTTTTACAAACCAGCCTAGTTAAGGTTCAATAGAAAGCTTATTTCCATACTCAGTTGAACATTAAAATCAAATTCAAAACAATTGTGTGAGAAATGACTCTACAAATGAAAAGAATTATTGAGTTTAAATTTAGATCCTTGCTTCACTTTAACTGTAAGAAGTAATACTTGATCCTTGTTTCACTTGTTTTATGATCATCTACATGTTATAAAGACCCACCCTCTATACTTGTTACGGGCTTCCTTCTTGGAGACTTCTAAATGATTCTGGTGCGCAGGATACAAGCTAGTGACCATAATCAGCCATTGCCTGTTATCAAAGATTGAACTTTAACTTGCTCTTGCTTTAGGATTGATGGAATAGTCTTCGTTTCTAATTTAAAACTCTTACTTGTCACATTATCTTTATTGTCTTGATTTATTAGTTTTAACTTGTTGCCAGATTATTCAAAAATATTTATTTATAAATAAAACTAATCACTATTCATAATGCAGGAAATGGTTTGTTTCTTTTGGGAATGGCCCGAAGATGTCAGACCTCAAACTTTCTTGGACTGGAAATTAATAGAAGGGTATTTATTTTGTCTTCAATAGATCAATTGGTTCTTTGGTTTGATTATTTTTTTTTATTAATGATTCCCATTTTATAGCTTGTCGTCCGCTGCTTAGATGAGGTACTCCATTGTGGGCTGAAGAATGTGTAAGTCCTATTTTTTGAACTTCAACATAGTGATGTATATGATTTCATTATCATGTTTTTGGGATCAATAGTTGCACTTGAACTTGTCTCATGGGAGATTAGTAAATTGAACTGGATAAAAATATCTCAAAATTGGAGAAAACCAATATTTCTGTCTACATCTGATGGCAATTTCTGAGTTTATTTAAATTTATTGTGGAGGGAGAAATGGACTGGACCTCGCTCTATGAAAAAGCTTTACACATTGATATAAATTTCTCTGTTTATATATATATATATATATATATATATGAAATGAGAATGCATTCTTTTAAAAACACATTGTTTATAGAGAATAGTGTACTCCCCGTACAATTCTTGTTTTACCCTTTTTCGGTTTATTGTACTGGTGTATATGCATTGCTATACACTAGGAGAGACAAGTTTTCTGTATTTCCCTTTATTCGTATGATTTATGATGCCATATTTCGTAAGAAAGGTTAAAAGTTTAGATTTTGGAATCACAGTATGTAAAATGGGTTGGCTGGAGCCCAATACCATCTGTATCTACAAAAGAGGGTGATACAAAGGAAAGAGTTATTTTGTCTAAAATACAAAACGTATAAGGGTTATTTTATACAAAACGTATAAGAGTTGTTCAATTAATAGATTAAAATAGAAAAGGTTTAAAATGGTGACTCACAAAATGTTTATTCATTCTACTACTTGTCCTCGTGACATTTTTCTATTTAGTGAGACATGGCTGCACTTCGGTAGAAGTAAGAAAGGTTATTTTGCGTTTGGTTCAAGGGCATGACTATTGTGCAGACGCACGAGCAGGGCAGACTAGTCCAACTTGGCCACGCCACTTATCAAAATCAGATTTCTTTCATTTATTATGTTAAATTTCAAGTGGGTTCATGGTTCTACCTTCAATAATAGGTTGGTAATGGTCGATGTCTATCAGAATGGCTGACTCAGCAAGTCGCAGTGAAAAGGGCAAGCAGAAAAGATGAATGGTTATTTGTAATTGGGTTATATGTACTAATACACTTAACGATAGCTGTAGAATGTTTTAGAGGATAAATATCTCAGTGATGCCTCTAGGGTTTGCCTTATTTAGAGATCACAAATATCGAATTAGGTTTCCCTGAATCAACTTAATTCATGAGATCCACGTGGATGAAAACCGTATGTGTCCCGTTAATGCTAAACTGTTAAGGTTTTAATTAAAGCTGAGACTAAGTTCCTCAATATTTGGGTAGTTTTTTGTGATGAAAGTTTGGGCGAACTAATAAAGAAGAGGAAAAAGGGATGAGAAGTACTGAGGAATGTGATTTTATTTCATCACTAGTAACTATATCATCGTCAGTACTCGGCGAAAAATAGTAGAAGCTGCCTCTGTCTCTACTGTTGGGATGGGCCATTGCCATAACAGTTGACCCTAATCTCCCCACTGGTATCATCAGCAGCCCCTTCTCCTTTGTGCTGACTTACCAGAGGGGTCAGGATTCATCCTTCTTTATGGAATTCTTGTTGAAATATTGTTATATTTGCCTTTTCATGATGGTAGTTGTGTATGCATTTAAACTTAAAAAATAAATGTATATATTCTTATTTTCATACTTTTTAAGCTGTATTGAATGTTGTGCTCATATCATCAGTGATTTGGTCCTCATGGCCCAATCTGAACGTTGGACAGCTGTTTCTAATGATCCCGAAGTCAACTTGAAAGCCTAAGCCGGAACGTAATGGCTTTTTTTTTAATTAGAGCTCGATGGAGTAACATGTTCCCATTGTCGTTTGCTTTCTCCAAATGGTGCTTATGATTTTTTATTGAGATTCTGCCACCTAACGTTTACAACCATGTGTTTTTTTTTGGAAGTGAAAGTGATGAACGGCCAAAGGACAGATTTTTACTAAAGTTCATACAGTGCTTGACCCCATCCCTTGATTTCTTCTTTTTCTTTTAATGCCTAGAGATCTGCTTTGCAAGATGATCTTCATAAGCAGTAAAATATACCCTCCTTATCTTGCAGAAAAAATGTGGATGAGAAAGAGGATAGATGTGATCACAAATAGGTGCTTTTACGTTGTTTAAATGTGAATTTGATAGGATGGATGAATCTGTTGATGCGATGTATGTACAATATTATCAGTTCAATATCACAGGCGTTTTGCCTTTTATGTTGTCTATTGCAAATTATGCACACTGACATTGATTATATGTACAGATGCTTTTTATTATCCTGTAGTTACTGATGTGAGTAACTTTTTACCATATCAAAATAATTTCCGTTTTTTGCCAACATGTTTGTTTTCCTCTGAAACATCTTTCCAATTTGCAAAGTATTCATAACAGTATCTTTTTTCTGTACATTTATCAGACATTTTCTCCCAACAAACGCCACGTCCACCTTTCGCTCCATCATTTCAAGTTATCCTGGGAAACTGGTTCTTGTTTCAATACAGGTATTGTGGATTGCGTGCTACTCTTAAATCGACTTTGCTGCCAGCCCAGATTTGTCACAATTGGTTGTGTTAACAAGTTGTATGGTTTACATGCTTCTGCTGCAAAAAAACTACATTCAAAATATCCTCACCTTTGCACCAACCAACATTTATACACAGACCCACTTTGGGGAGAGTGGTTATACATCCTGGATCGAGTCAGATATTCACAGAGGTGGGCAAGGGCAAGGGCTCTCCTCCCTCTGGCTCGCCTCCAGGTTTACAGTGCGGAGCCATAAAGCAAGAAACGAAGGTCAAAAAGCGGGTCCTCGTGTAAGGAGACGCTTTGAAGGCTGGATCTTGCAAGGCTTTCCGGTCATCTTGGGATTCTTTCTAGAGAGGAGAGAGCAACTTTCGACTGTGTTCAACAACCCATGGTCCTCAATGGCAGATCACTACTCTCTTGTCTTGCTGCTGTAGACATCTTTGGGTGATTCCTGGAAACTATATAACGTGGTCTCGTGTCATAAAATTTACAATAAAATGAATCCTATCCTTTTCTATGAACGTACAGTCCTTTTTGATCGACGTTTTATCATTCCTGAAACACATTTCTATAGCCTTTCAAGAAGATTATTTTAGTTTTAGAGGCTCTAAATGTAGGCTACACGGGGACTCAGGCTGTCAAAGGCCATGCCTGTGATCGTAAACAGAAAGACCATAGGCGAGCCTGGGGTGGAGGAAAATAGATTCACTCTCATTAAGTCTGGCTCGGGTCTGGTTTATATACCAGACCCCCACAGTGTGCAACAGTGAATTGGTCTAACAAAGAGCCGGTCCTTTCCTGCACTTGTCATTCTATAGTTATCAGAATTTTGCAAAAAAAATTATAAAAGTAGTGCTAGAAATGATTGTCATGGGTTCTTTCATTAGTTATGAAGACTCTTTGGTAAATTTAATTTTTTACTGAGAAAAATTGTTCAATAATTGATGCGCCTTGGCATTCGGGGTATGCGAGAATGAAATGCGCATAGAAATTGGGTGCTCTCTTTTTTATTGGTTTGGATGTGGTCCCTTGTACTGTGAGAACCTTGTCACGAACACCCTTAATATGATTCCTTGAACACGGAGAGAATCTGTTCCCCTTTCCAAAGCTTCAAATTCTGCACTTTAAAGGTTGTTTTTTTCATAACTTATTGACCTGGATGAATGGAGGGTGCTCTGCCGGAGGATGAGGTAACCTCTCATCATTCCCACAGCAGGGTTTCTCTACATCATGTCACTGCCAAATCAAAAGGACCACCCCGCATGGAAGGCCCACTAGGAATATATGTGAATGAAACATAGAAAACCTTCCCTATCATCTGGGCTCCTATACTCATGGTGGGACTGGTGAACGAAGTTTTATTCTTTAATTAATTAATAAATATTTTAGTTTCGAGTCATTATAGACTGTATTTTATGTTTACTTCATCATATTTGCTAGATGCTACAATATACTCCTCTTTTCCTTGGAAAAAATGTTGCCCTGGCGCACAGGTGATGCTACATACACAGTTGGTTCGTTTAATGAATGTTGTGTTCTTACTGCATCATCTTCTTTTATGCTGCAGATTATATGGTCGTATTTTACAGAGTTGCAATCGCCTGATTTGTCATTTAATGTATATATGCTATTTATTTAGCATTTCTCCAGCAGAGACGCTTAGATTCTAAGTCATCCTGCTCCTGTGTTCCAGTGTCCAAATCCTGACTTCAACAAGCCAGAGCACCGATGGAAGATGGTTCAGAGGATGCTCATTGAAGCAATCGTAGACCTGCTGGCAACCGATGGAAAGGTGTGTTTTCCTTCCGTGATCGTCTCATCTTTAGAACCAGATAGTATTTTCCCTTCAAATTTGCCTTCAATAATCGCCAGTTTTTCTATCTTGCGGATTATCATAAAAATTCAAGTAGTTGTGGACTGTTTTACTCGATCCAAATCAAGAAATCTTTCATCCAAAAATCTTATCCGATTGGGTTAGTAGACTGTTCCTCTGTCATTGATTCCGGATATTCATCACCTGATATAAAATTAAAATAATCCTCTTCTATTTTATGTTATTTTATTTCTCCACGCATACCATATACATACATTCTAGATTCATGTGTGACCTGGTAGCATCATCTCACGGATATTCTGTTGAAGGAAATTGGATCATCTGGGTGCTCTTGAACATGAGGTATTTTGTGGGTTTTGATAACTGGACTCACGGGGATTGCTTGAAAAGTGCAGGTCTTTCTACAGTCGGATGTAGAAGAGGTGACGAGGAGGATCAAGGAGGATTTTCTGCTGCATGGGAGGGGTAGGCTTGCTCTGGAGGGGGGTGATGGCGGAGGATGGATCAGGGAGAATCCCTTCGGCGTCAGGTCAGACTGGGAGAAGCATGTTCTTGCTCGTGGGAACCCAATGTATAGAATGTTGCTTAGAAAGGTCGATCTCAATTGATCTTCGGAGAGAGAGAGACAGAGACAGAAAGAGAGGAGTATTGATGTACCATTCTAATGGGCATTGAAGTTGGCTTCTTGGCGTTAATCATCACCATGTTTTTCAGTGTAAATTTGCTTAATTGGGTTACATCATGATCAAGAGATGCCGGAGACAGAGAGAGAGAAGAGAGAGAAAGAGAGAGGAGGGGGAGGAGTTTTGTGGTACCATTCTAATGGGCATTTAAGTCAGCTTCTTGGCGTTAATCATCACCATGTTTTTCGGTGTAAATTTGCTTAATTTGGTTACATCATGATCAAGTAATGCAGGAGAAGGAGAGAGCGAGAGAGAGAGAGAGAGAGAGAGAAGGGGGGAGGAGTTTTGAGGTACCATTCTAATGGGCATTGAAGTTAGCTTCTTGGCGTTAATCATCACGATGCCGTTCAGTCTAAATTTGCTAAATTTGGTTACATCATGACCTAGATATGCTGGAGAAATAGAGAGAGAGAGAGAGAGATGGAAGGGATTTCTAGCTCCAATTGGTGTATTAATAGTGAATGTGTGGGAATGAAAAACCCAGAAGATATTTTTCTGGGCGGCCATCCATCAAACTAGAAGCTGCTCTGCGAGCTCTCACCCTTCGCTCCGACAGAAACTAAGAAAAAAAATATAATGATCATGATCAGATTTCTTAAAAGCAACAGAAGGATATCTATTTCGGGCAGGAGAATTTCTCATTCATTGGGTAAGATAAGAGAAGGTTCGTCCTTGCCGACCATGGCCAATGCACACGAGGGAGCTTCGTCCAAGCTCTGGCTGGGATCGTGTGATCAAGAACGAATGGCGGGTATCATCAGATAACCCATGCGGCAGCCGCTCCCATCGCCCGCGCGAAAATGGCTTGTCCGGCTCTCTCTCTTCGTCCCCACGTAGCCTCTTCCCTCCCGCTTCGGGAGAGGTCCCCCGCGAATCGATGGCGTCTGAGAGTTTCGAGCTCCCTCCGCGAGGGGCGGCGCGGGGCGAGTTTGACGGCGGAGGGTTTGAGAAAGTGGGCCGCGGATTCCGGGTTGAAAGTGGCCAAGGTCCTCCTCTCCGGGGCGGTGGTTCTCGGAGTGTCTCTCTCCGGTGTGTGCACGTCTGCATAATCTCCGATTGCTACCGCTTTTCTCGCTGCTCCGTGCGCGTTGTTTTGTCTCTCATGTCCGATCATGATATCAGCCGGGCTCTCTGAATTCGTGTTCTTCTTCTCTGATTTCTCTCCGTGGTCGCCGTATAAGGAAGGGGGATTGCTTCCCTACCGCCATTGTCAACTCGAAATGCAGTAGTTTCCTTTCTGTAGATTTTGCTTGGATGAGCTTACTCATGGCGATGCTAGGGCTATCGATTACCGATACTGATTAGGCAGTCATCAGAGATTTAGCTGTGGCGTGCATTCAGAAGCACCTAACCGGAGGAGAATAGGGGATGGGAACAGAAACAGAGATAACCCAAAAAAAAAGATTTTTTTTTCCCAAGCATTCCTTTTGGCCATTGAATCTGGCCTTGTTCTTGAGTTCAGAAATCCACGGAAAAGAAGAAATTATTTTCTTCTTCTACAAAAAAACTAATGGGTGTCTAAATTTATTTTCAAATCACTGGTTTGATCAATACACATGAATTTTCGCTTCTTTCTGGATTTTTTTTGATTGTGGACAGGTAAGAAGAGCGTGCCATAACCGATGAGCTTTGATTATGAATAGTTACCGGTTGATTAGCGCCTGGATCTTGCTCAACATTCTGTGGAAGCTTACGGATCTAGATTGTATTCAACTACTGTAGAACTTGATCTTTACCCACGGTTAAACTGATGAGCTGAAGGAAGCATCATTTCCTTGAAACTCTGCAGGACTTGGTGATGTCGAGGCAAAGGTCGGAGTTAATAAGCCAGAATTGCTCCCAAAAGAATACACTCCAGTGATTGATGTTGCTGGATTTTTATCTGCGGGGCAGGTCTTTCTCAAATCTCCCTGCATGCGCTTGCCTTCCAATCACCTCTCTGTACTTGAGCCAGATTTCGTTGTTCTGAAACGTTTGAGATATGCCCCACCAATGTCAAACCTTAAACATTACGTTTACTCAATTATATATATTTTTTAATTTTTTTTGGGTTCATTTTATTTATTTCTTCCATTACTTATTACCTCGGCGTTTTTATATTATTTTAACTACCTAGGCCGTATTAGTATCTCGGCTATGCAAGCCAGACAGGTAAACTGTTGCCTTCTCATGGAACAATGCCTCGCATGCTGATATGTGCCAGATGATCTTTAGGAGAACCGACTGATCCAAGAGATCACTGATCTTGAGAAGGACACAGGATACAAGCTGAGAATTCTATTGCAGAATTTCCCTGACACACCAGGTATAACAACACCGCATCTGCACTCGTTTTTTCTGGGTTCCAATTCTGATTAAAAGGAGGCAATGCTTGGATATCTCTCTTTCTTTTCCTGAAGAACTCCAACCATCTTCCCATGGGATGATAGAGATTTACTGCTCCCTAACTTATTGATTCTTTTTTTTTCATATATATATATATATATATTTTCAGGATTGGCTATTAAAGACTTTTGGAATGTCGATGATAGAACCATAGTCTTTGTTGCGGACCCAACATTTGGTGAGGCTTAGATCATGTGTTGTGCTTGTTAAACATTCGTGTGAAGCTCTAAAGTCTTGGATTATATGCGCTTTCAAATTTTTTTCAATCCATCTTTGCTCGCCACACGGAAGATTCATAGGCTTTGGTTTTCTCAGCAGAAACACCACCCCCTCTCATCTCTGTTTTTTCTTTCTTCGCAATCCATTGGTGAACCTCAGACGGGGTCAAAGGTCCTGGTCTCACGGAGAATTAGCTGTCTTTTGAGGCATTTTTATCGTTCTTTTTGCTCAGATTTCAAGGGAGGGTTGACTTTTCCCTTGAAATCAGATGTGTCTTAAGATTGGTCCGTTTCCTGTTTCAAACTTCCTCGAAGATTATCCAGACCGAGTCAGTTTCATATAAATATCCCCACTAATAATGGAGGCCATGGCAGGCAATATCTTGCATTTCAACGTGGGTGCAACAGTTGACTTAGAGGTGCCCCGGAACTTCTGGAGTCGCGTGGCAGGGAAGTATGGGAACATGTTCTACTGGAAAGAAAAGGTCAAGACTTCCCCACTCATAACAGTCTCTCCTAGATCAGGGCATGTGATTACATAAATCCTTCATTTAGGGTTCTGGGTGTTCTTGGAGACATCCAAAGCTTCTCCTTGGCTATTCCTTGATGAGGTGCTTCTTCCATGGCTGAAACAGGGGGAGGACAGGTCCATCGAAGACGCTGTGAAGGCCATATCAGGCTGCCTGAGGGACCCACTCGACGCCAATAGCTGCTCCGAGTTCCTCTGATGACCTCCATGTTCTTCCGACTGCCCAGATCTCTGGAACGTGTGTGTCAGGACGAAGTGTACATTAAGAAAACACGTGTTTCTTGTGGGTTTCTATTAGATTTCGCCGCAGGTGCTCTACCATTCCGTAGAGAATTAGGAGACGGAGAGATGCGGGAGAAACCATCTGCCCGAAGGCTCTCTCGGTCAGCGCTGCGTTGCCCCGGAGTTTGACTTGGGCGTCTCCGTGGCCAAAGGGTTGGTGGTAGAACAGAGACGCGTGGCCCCCCGATTTTATTCTGCCCACGTTCATGGACTCTGCGAGCGGAGATAAGAAGCCACCCCCCCTTCCCCCCCCCCCCCCGGCCGCCATTAACTGTCAAGGTTTGGCGGGCGGCGGGCAGATGCTTCGGATAGAACAGGTCAAACCCTCTGATTGGCTTCTTACCCGCTAATTTATATTTCTCGGCGGCGGGCGTGGACAAGATCAGGTCTTCCGCTTCTCCGCTGCCATTTTTTCTGTTTTTTTTGGTTTTTGGTGCACTCCTTTAAGCTTCTTTATCGGTGGGCTGTCTCCCTCGGCCATTTGTAGGCATTCCTCTACTTCTCCATTCTCTTCCCGCCTCGCAGGGGAAAACTCACGACAGAAGATGCCGGCGGGCAGCGGAGCGGAGCCGATCGGAGGCAATGGTGGCAGCGGCGCGGTGGTGGTCAAGCGCACGGCGAAGGCGGTGGAGGACATCTCGGACCTGCCGGAGTTCCGGGGCCCGTTGAGGCTGCCCTGCGGCAACCTTGTGAGGAGGTTGAAGCTCCTGGGCCCCCTCTTCGACGAGCTTATGGACGGCGGCCCCCCCTGCTCCGCCGGCGCGCTGGAGCCGCTGGCCACGGCGGTGGAGTCGACCAGGGAACTTCTCCGCTCCATCAATAAGGGGAGCAAGCTCCACCAGGTAAACACGGCGCTCCCCCCCCCTTCCGACGCCGCCTCTCTCTTCCGGCAAAATCTCCTCAACTGCGGCTCACCTTCTTCCAGGCCCTAAAGAGGGAGGAATTTTCCAAGAAAATTCTCGACGTGACGGAGCGACTCGAGGAATCGTTCGGCGAAATCTCCTTCTGCGACGGGCTCGACATCTCCGAGGAAGTCCAGGAACAGGTAATGGCGGAGAATCTCGTTCTCAATGAATATACCTGTAATTTCATCTCACCGTGTCTCATGAATGTTCTTGTTGCCGATGGATTTTCTCAGCTGGAACTCGTTCGCGCGCAACTGCGGAGAGCGAAAGGGAGGCCCAATTCTCCCGATGAGCAGCTGTCCATGGATCTCTCGTGGGCTCTGGCCGAGAAGAGCCGCGACCCGAGCATCCTCAAGAGGATATCGGAGAAGCTGCAACTCACCACCATGACTGACCTGAAGAAGGAGAACATTGCCCTGCACGAGATGGTGATAGAAAGCGCCGGCGAACCCGTCGACTGCCTCGAGGAGATGTCCGCCCTCCTGAAGCAGCTGAACGACTGGATTTCTTCAAGCTCCCTCGGTGGCAGTGCCGCACCGGAGGGCCGAGGGCATCCTTCTGGGCACAGATTCCCCGTCGTCCCAGATGATTTCTGGTGCCCGATTTCCCGGGAGATCATGAGAGAACCCGTCACCGTCTCCACCGGCCAGGTTCGGCTCTCCTTCCGTCTTCTTCTTCTTCCTCCTCATCCTCATTTCTATGTGATCTGGGTCTCTACCAGGTTTGACGGACCCTCCCTGGACCTCCACCTCACCTCCAATCTTATTGCAGACGTACGAGAGATCCAACATCCAGAAATGGCTGGACGCGGGCCACAAGACCTGCCCCAGAACGCAGCAGCATCTCTCCCACACATCGCTCACCCCAAACTACCTCCTGAAGAGCCTCATCTCTCAGTGGTGCCTGAGCAACGACCTTCCATCCCCCAGGAACCAGGGCGGCGCCCGCAGCGACCCGGCGGGCGTCGCCGCGCTCGTGGAGAAGATACGCGACGGGAACCAGGCGGAGCAGCAGCGGGCGGCCGCCGGTGAGATCCGCCTGCTCGCGAAGAGGAACGCCGGCGACAGGTCGCGCATCGCCGCCGAGCACGGCGCCATCCCCTCCCTGGTGGATCTGCTCCAGTCGCCGGACCCGAGGACGCAGGAGCACGCCGTCACCGCCCTCCTGAACCTCTCCATCGACGAGAGGAACAAGCCCGCCATCGTCGCCGCCGGCGCCATCCCGGAGATCGCGGCGGTGCTGAAGCAGGGGAGGAGCGCGGAGGCGAAGGAGAACGCCGCCGCCGCGCTGTTCAGCCTCTCCGGCCTGGACGGAACCAAGGCGCAGATCGGGGCCGCCGGCGCCATGCCCGCCCTGGTCGAGCTGGTCCGCCGTGGGACGCCGCGGGGGAGGAGGGACGCCGCCGCCGCCGTCTTCAACCTCTCGCTGTACCAGCCCAACAAGGTGAGGGCCGTGAGGGCCGGCATCGTGCCCGTCTTGAGGAACCTCCTCGAGGATCCAAGGGAGGAGATGGTGGACGAGGCCCTCGCCATTCTGGCCGTCCTCGCGGGCCACCAGGAAGGGAGGATGGAGATCGAGAAGTCAAACCCCGTTCCCATCCTGCTGGAGCTCGCGAGGACCAGCTCCAACCGGAACAAGGAGCACGCGGCGGCGGTCCTGTTGGCCCTCTGCTCCGGCAGCGCCCTGCAGCTGAAGGCGGCGGCGGAGTCGGGGGCGGAGGAGTCACTGAAGGGCCTGTGCGAGAGTGGAACCAGCAGGGCCAAGAGGAAGGCCAAGGGCCTCCTGGAGCTCCTGAAACGCAGTTGACTAACTCCCCCTTCACCATTTCTTTCGAGAGGATGGACAGGTGGTGTAGAGAAAGCAGTCACCTGGAATCATTTCACATCATATCGGCCCCCCCTCTCACCATCCTTGCTTTAAATCTGTGATTTTACACATACCCATCACGCCAAGAACACGCAGCAGCAGGCTCGATCTGTCGCCAAGAGAACTTCAATCTTAACCGGCGTTGCTTATGAGCGTCTCGAGCAAGGTGTCGCCATTAATGACCTTCGTTGTCCCGACGATGAAGTCGTAGCCCGTTCCCTCCTGTACAAGTACGACATCCACGAAGCAGATGAAAGAAAGGTAATGACGACGACGGACCCTCTGCCGGGGCGGAAGAATTACCTGAGAACTTAGAAAACGGAGAGCGGACATCTCTCCAGGAGTCACGCCTCCTATGAAGACGACGAGCACGAGGGTGCGATGCCCATCTGTTGTCCTGCTCAATTGTGGAAATCTATGTTATGATCTGGCCTCTTCTGAGATAAAAGAGGCAAACTGGTAGATAGACAGCGTCTAAGATCCGTCCCAACAAAAGAATCGACAGCGTTAGTTTTCAGACAAACATCCTCGTGATATCAAAAAATAAATAAAAATCTCGCCTTTTTTACAGTATTGGTTTTGGGTCCTGTTATACCCTCTAAGCATGCTTGTTATATTTATTAATTAAGTAATTAATTAATCGAACACAAGATTTTGGTGCACTCCCAGCTTACTAAACAAGGTAGGAAGTATGTCGATCACCTCTCAAGGCTGCCTGGAACGCCCCTTGATGAGTCCAGTGATGGGTAGTTGGGAGAACCACCCTGCAGCAAAAATAGAAAAATATATATATAAATGGAATTCGATAAGTAGAAGAAAGAAACCATTTGAAGGATTCCCAATGGGGAACACCATGATGAACTTACTCTCTTCAGTTCGAGATGCGGCCCGGGCAAGAGCTTCAAGATTTCTTCGATGGGGTGCCTGAGGTAACCAAAACGTTTCACATGAGCTTCAATACTTCTTCAATGGAAGGAGTATTGGCTCCCAGAGGATCAGTCAGGCAACATCAGAGGATATGTATGAAACAACTAGGGGGGTGATGAGGGCAGGGATTATTATCTCACTTGATGGATCATGGAGGCCTGTTCCAGGCCTCCATGAAATTATAAAATGCAACAGCAGCCTGTTCTAGGCCTGCTGATGCATCATGCGACAAGATCCCCACGGGAATGTAATAATTTTTTTTCTGACTAAGAAGTGGAAAACAAAATAAATGAAAAACAAAGCGACAAACTTGTATAACTGAATCAGAAGCTAAGTCGATTTATAATTTTCTTCCTTTATTTCAGAGCAGGGCTGTGTATTCTGATAAAATAACCAGATTTACCCATCTTTTCACTGGTGCTGTCCCAGAATATTAAACTCCAAACCAGGAAAACTATCTGTCAGGGCACATATATGAATCAGAAACAAAATATTTGAGGGGTCCTTAAACCTAGAAAATAAAAGAAAAACGATCATTCAATACATCACCCAGGGGAAACCTCCAGCAGTTTATGATACAATCTGTATTGTGAGTAGAGACGAAAACAGGAAACCAGACCCGCTCAATTTAGTTACAACTGGGAGGCTTAGTTTAACAAAGTTAAACAAGGAAACTCGAGAAGTTCCTCACATCAATCCCTTTCACCAAGGTAACAAAATCGTGCTGTAGTTGCAACACATGCAATGCCATGTTGAAGGATGACAAACCAGCAATCTCCAGTACCTACCAAGCAAAGGGCTCCTTCCATTCTTTTTCCCATGTTCCAAGGACCCGATTGCCAAACCATATGATAGTTTCCAACACTCTTCACCAGACCCAGTTACGTTTAATACCAAAAGTCTCATTTTCACAGCGAATTTCCAAATATGCCAGGCCCGGGAAGCGCCCCTGCGCTAATTGTGATTCAATAGATTTGCTTCGACCAGATTGACACAACCATTATAACGGCAAAAAATTATAAAAAAAATAGTACGCGGTAATACAAGTACTAAACCCAAATTATGAAAAAGGGCATTGTCTGTATATGTTTTTTAAACGAAGGAAATTCAGCAAAAGTTAAACTTACCAACCAGATCTAATTGCATGTTGAACAAGCCGAATGCTTAGAGGTGCGTAACCAGAGTATATGTATGAGATATCACTGGGACTGTAAAGCAAGTAGTGGTGTATATAATTAGATAACTGTCTCAAAATTATTGGAGCTAGTAATTTAGAAGCATTTAGAAGAAATAAGTACTTTAATTTTGCAATACTTCCAAATGCAGAAGCTTGTGAAAAACTTTACTCGTAATAACAGTTCCTTCAGATTCCAGAAAGAAAAATGATAATGGAAAACACAGAAAAGGATGGGAAGAATCCAGAATTCATGACACATCGAACACTCTGAAGGTTGGCATTTGTTTTTAGGACCACAAGACAGTCTAAATAAGCCAAAGTTGAGTCAGGTTCAGTAAACACGAGTTGCAAGTATTTCAATTTCTAGAGTTTCGATATGGTTCCCAGCTAATCAACCTTCACTTCTTTAGATTTGCACTATGTTTTAAGGCAGCATAATCCAAAAAAATGCCTCAATGAAACCCATAATTTTAATGTATATTATTTACTTTTAGAAGTCTCACAGAGGAATTTTAGAACTTAAACAAAAAGCATAAAGGCAATCATGTAAAGGACCTAAAAACGTCACAACATGGGAAATACAGGGAAAAATCCCAACCAATAGAGTAAAAACAACATAGACGGTCACTACCAAGAAAATAATGACAAGAACTGAATAAGAAAATGGGATAGTATACTTGGAAGGGTCACTCTCGTCCACAAGAAGTTTCAGAGCACGAATAATATTTAACCAGTTGCCTTTTGATTCCTGAGTGACCAAAAGTGCATAAGAAAGAATGAGATGAAGAGCATATGACACTGAGAAAGGAATGAGAATTTACGTAGCATGTTAAATCTACTCTCGAAATGTACAAGAGCCAAACTATGCAGCACCTGTTTCTTGAATAGTCCAGCTTTCTCCAGATTATTCAATGTGAACATATGTTCAAACCCATAGCTATGAAGCAGTTCTCTCCTGAAATAAATAAATAATAGAAAAATCAATCAAGAAAAACTCCCCCGTAAGATAAGCAAACGAAATGTTTTTGAAAAAAAAATGTACACTTCATAGGCGCTGGGGGGGGAGGAGAGAGAGAGAGAGATAGAGAAAGTCGCCTACCCATTTGAACTGGTTTTTTTGCCATTGACTGCAATAGCAGTTGAAACTATATAATATTTAGTTCCTTAAAAAAATACTGTAAAAAACACTGCCAGTTGCAAGATATTGTAGGCTTAAAGAGGCATGGTATTCACGGCATGCATACGTTTTTCAAAATTGTTTTATTTACCCTTCTTCACTCATGTATCGTAGCCAAGACCAAGCAACATGAAAAAACTCGGAATTCACCAAAGCATATTAAGCCATGAAAGGGCATTAGACAAATGATTAAGCAGTGGTCAAAAAAGCTTAACGCATCTGTAAAAAGGAACAGACTATGGTGCAATTTCACTCGACCATGTTTATGATCTATACCATGAAATAATACGACAAAAAAAGTTATATAGAAAAAGCCAATAAAAAAGTGATGCTGGGAAAACTGTAAGGTGATACGACCCCTGTTAAGTGAGTTAAACAGTGAATGTGAGAACTATAATGATAGCAGATGAAGATATTTGGTCTATGGTCCATGTGAAATAAAAATTATATGATTGAGATAAATATTTGATAAAAAAAAAACGGATGACTATAATAAGCTCAATGTGAGAATTTTACGAAAGTTAAATGAAATGTTAGAACTGTAAACAAAAATGCGTATATAGCCAAATTTAATTCTCAAAATTACAAGTGTGGCAACCGATTCACCCAAAGACTAAATAAAAATATCATCACCAAAAATGGTCGTAAAAATCAGCACAAGGACTAGATGGTAAATCAAACTGGCGTAGATGAAAATATTCAGTAAAGAAGGACATGAAATCAAATTCAGTGCATGAACTTCAAATTATTTTGGCAATGGTCAACATATCTGTATCGGGGAATCTAGAAAAAAAAACAAATCAAATAGCAGCGACACGGAAAGATGTGCAGCATCTGATAAGCTGAAAAATATCATGAGATATTATCATTCATTACTCCTTTCTATATCGCACATAAATAACATGCAAAATCAGGCACTACCTCAAATAGTCAAAATTCTTCTTTGGCAATCCACCGTTGGTGATGGAAAATAGTACAAGCAGTCTTATGACATTGACAAGTGGCTCCTGTTTGTGGATCATTTCTTCAATATATTCGAAACATCTGTTTTCAAAAGAAGTTGGCCGGAAGATTAAAACTAGTAATATTCTCCGGTTTGAGCATTGATGGATAGACTAAAACCTTCAAATAAACAAAATCTAGAAGAACTAGAGATAAACCAAAGTAGATAAGGCTACATAAACAAAATAACAAGATCAAACCGTTAAGAAATTTAATAAAAAATAAAAACCGCTTCATAAAACATATCTTCAGTAGAAATCAACTTACATGTCATAAGCCTGACCCTCCAAAATTGTCTGTTCAATGTCAAGACGAGCACTAAATGATGGCTTTGATGTAAAAGTGAACAGATGTTGTGCAAGGTTTATATGTCTCTGAAGCAGTAAGTCAGCATTAGAAATCCAAAAGACAAGATATCCTGAAAATAAATAAAATAAAGAATTGTGCTTACAGAAATTTCTGGAAGTGAATTAAGCTTCTTAACAAAATCTTTCAGTTCCGATACCGTCCGAGTCTGAAAAAAAATAGATTCAAGTCATCCATCCAATGCTGGCTCATCTCAAACATTAATTAACAGAGTCTTATATGATAAGATTAGAATACTGTAGAAAATATTTCGTAGAGGACGTACCTAGAAAGATATAAATCCCCTAAGAGACTAATGAAAATTTTGAAAACGATTTCCTTTCTTAAGGGTTCGCACAGAACATTGCCAGAGGAGCATAACAGAACACATTTTTCCTTTCCTTGGAAAAAACTTTCCCTTCGTGATGTAAGAATTGAGCTTGCATACAACTTTCTTCCGTACATACTGTTGTCAGCAATACCACCTATTTCTAGAAACCCAGATATCATAGATCAGCAATCATCTGCTGTTGAACTTTTTATTAAGGTGATATATTTTCGAACTTCCTGGAGATTATTACCTTTATGTCAGGAAATTTACGGTTGACTTTTATACATTTTTCATGAAACTTTATAGAGTGAATATATTCAATATTCGCGAATTCGTGTCTTCTGTCAGGGATTAAAATGTTAATAGTCTTGTTTCCAACACGCCAATCCAGAGGTTTGAATAACTATCATCTTTGCACTGATCAACATAGTCGTGAAAAGAGAGAAAAAGCGTATGTAATCAAAGATTTCAACCGACCAAGAAAATGAATATTCACGAAGTCATTTTTCCTTTGATTCCTAAAATCATCTTTAAATAAAATTATATATATTCTCATATCTTGGCAGACGAGTTGCTCAGCAGAAAAAAAAAATCTTTTTCTTTTTTTTTTTTTGCAATGAAGACTGAAAAGATTGAAATTTGAGGAAGGAAGTAATTCTACAATTTTGAGAGTCATGGATTAATTGATGAACCCACACAATGTCGGTGTAGACAATTGCCTTGTGCAAGGCTCGTTTAAAGCTGATTGTGCAAGTGTATGGTCCACTTCCAAAAAAAAGACAATGTGAAGTACATGCGTGCCAAGGTCAAATATGCATCAAAATTAGATTTAGAAAGTGTGATGATGAGCTTTTTGTTCACAGCTAGTTGGTACAGTCATCTCCCTGAGAAAAGAATGCTCAAGTTGGACCAGCAAAACTACCCTGTTGATATTTCTTCCTTACGTTGAAAACCACGACAACCACCTCAAAACCAAGCAAAAAAACTCAGTGACATGTGCGTAAATAGCTTGTTACAGCTATGCCACAGTCCATCGAGTCTTATGCACGCCATCAATTCAATAGATGCAACGTAAGAGAAATTTAATTATCAATTTCTGAGCCTTAGATATATAAAAAAAAGCCCAAACTTGAAAGAAACATCAAATTCAATCACAGACATTCTGATTCTGAATTTAACTGATGAAAAGTAAAATGAATATCCATGACTCTGTTCTTACGGTAGATATTTCGGCATAATCCTGCTTCATTGACATTGCCTTTTCACGCAGCATCTGGAATTATTTGAAAAACATACCGACGTTAAAAATAGGAGTATAAAGATATACTATCTATAATCAGTTCAAAATGAAGCGGAGAGAGCGTGGTCAGCAAAAGGAACCAATTGAAGAGGAGAGAGCGTGGTCAGCAAGGGAGGTAAAACAACCTGCATTACCACTCCAAATTGGAGATCTCGAATCTCCTTGTATAATTTATCACTGAAACACAAGACAAGATATGGAAATAAGCACAATCGGATACATAACGAGATCAATAATCAGTTCCAGATTATGCAGATGGAAAAACCCATAAATATGCAGAAAATCAAGAAACATGTCAAAAAATATTTTCCTTCTAGAATTACCTGGAGTTAAGCGGAACCTTCATCTTTTTGCCATCTTGTTGAGCACCCATGATTGATGCATCGACCTCAACTGAACCATTATTTATTCGCAAAATCTATAAAGGAAAACAAACCCAAAGTCATTTAAAACATTGATTTTTTAAACAGTTAAAAACAATCTATTAAGGGCATGCAAAGAACAAACCTATATGGACAAACAAAGATCAGTGTAATAAAAACAGGTTAGTAGCGGGCATAAATATGCAAATTTCAACGTACGAAGGAAAAAAATGAGAACAAAACATGGACGTTAAACATTTTAGAAATGAGTTGGCTTGCAGATTCTTTGCAGGGCACAAAGAAAATTAACGTGACAAAGGAAGAAGCGGAATTCCTAATAAGGTTATTATATATCTGAGCCAATCAAAATAACTACTATCCATTTTTTGCAAAACAAATTGCAAGATACGATTGGACCATCAGAGTCGATCTATTTCTAAAACATCCAAATTGTCAATATTGACCGATTGCAAAGGCATAGAAACACCCTAATGACCGCTCAATAAGGTAGACAAGTCAGAGTCTACTGTTCAAAATTACCCCAGACTAGTCCACTAATTCAGACAATAAATCGAAGCAAATTGGACCATTGATAAATTGATCAAATAAGCAACGTGATTATCTAGTACAACATGTACACAATAACAAAGATCTGAGAAAATGAATGATAGGTTAGTTTCAACCCTTCCCACATCAAACTAAGTATAGGCAAGCATGTACATTAGTTATTATGATCCTGAGCAAAGTCGAATAAATTAAATCATTCATACAGGCATCATATGGGCATTACCCAAAAATCAGATCTTCCCAGAAGGACTTGCCATCAACAAATACCCATGCTTAATGAGGATATCATGAACAAAACTTTAAATTGATACCCAAGGAAATCTCAAACCTTACCTCATCAAGTATTCCTTCATACGTCAATGGGAAACACATTGGTGTAAACATGTCTACCTGGGAAAGATATAGTCGGAATTCAATAACATCAGTAATAGTCATCAATAAGCCTTGAAACGTTATGATCAGACAACAGTTAACCAATAAGTTCATCGAAATGGCTGGCAAAGTACATGAAACACCAGTTAGTCAAGCTCTGATAACACCCACAGGTTATAAAAATGATTGGCACGTGCAGATTGATTACAGTTAATGCATACGGAATCTATCAAAATACTAAATCATTTACTGAAAACTTTCATTCGAAAAAGGAAAATTCTGAACACTCTTGAAAATGCATGGGATTAGATATTGTTCTTGTCAATGATTGCTCATGAACTAGAAAACAACAGTTACCTAGCCAAACCTGTCACCAAGCTTGCAAAGCAAATATCAATGTTACAGCTAATAGGAACTGAAACCCAAGATCAACTGACCGAAGATTGAGAAGCGCATCCTATCTAATGTTGATCGACAACAGTTCTTAGGCCTAAATTGAAAGTCCTAACATTTCCTGCTTTTCATATACCAAAACTTGTCGATCAAATACCTAAATTGTATGGTCTACATCCTGATCCAAATATGTGAATTTAAGTGAAAAGCCTGATTTGGTCCAAAATAATTTTACAATGAAATAAAAATAGAAAAGACATAATTACTAACCTTAAGGGTATATAACTAGAAAACTAGGTCCCCTTAAGGGTATATTTTATTCTTTCAAAAAAACCGAATGATATCATAAACATCATTAAGAAGAAAAGTAAAATTCCCAGTTCAAAGTTAGCAACATAGTTACCTCTCTATCAAGCAAAACTATTGTATTTATCTCCGGGACTCCTACCTGTAATCAATAATTAAATTTGAACGAGTGACTGGTCAATTAACTTCTCCTAAAACCATATCCAAAGTCGAAGAATAAATAGCATTGCCAGTAAAAGTGAATACCTACATTTGAAATGTCGACTGGATCTTCGACTTCCATGCGCTTCAAGATGTCAACCACCTTTGATGCAGATTTTCCCATAGCCTTTAAATTTGGTATCACTCCAAACGAAAACTGGACGCATTTAAGACTGGATAGTTAGGACAAGACTACGTGCTCATGAGAAATTATGAGAAAGATGAAAACAATGCCCAAGTAGAAGCTATCTCCCTCATGACACACCCTTATGCAAGTATAATTACGGGACTGAGGACCCTATTTCTGAAAGATGGCAAATGGGTACAATGATTACAGAACTAGTTTTCATGAATAGGAAAGAAGGACATAAAGTCCTCCAAATCTATGTCATCCTAGTACTTTCCTTTTCCAAGAAGGAAAAGATAGTTCATGTAAGCTCTATAATGGTTTCCCCATGGCAACCTCCGAATTTTCAACTTGCAGACGCCTTTTTCTCTCCCTTTTTCTTCTATGCTCCAACTTTTATCCTTCCCTTCGCAATTTCAAACAAAAACTTACACGCATACACAGGCCCATTTTCTACCATCCAATAATGAACTGTTTCCACCATACCAGTTAATGGCACCACTAGATTATATCAGACAATCATAGTACATGATAAGCCAAACAAAAAGGATCAAATGTTCGTCATCAAAGAGACGGCATTACTTTCATTTCAAAAGCTCGCTTTGATGAAATGCCCTTGGGTAAAAATTGCAGGTACCTCCAAGCCAGTCTAGACGGGGTCATCACGCGCATAGTTCCTAGATGTAAAACAAGTCCTGAACTGCCGGAGACTAGACTAAGGGCACTTGAAAGCACTTTTTAACTTCTTTTTTCGAGACACGTCTGCATAACTACCCGATTCCACCTATTATACATAAGGAACGTCGGGAAAAAAGAATAAAATATCTACGAAGCAACAACAGAAAAAAAAATCCAATCTATAGTTTTCCCTTTTAGTGCATTGCTTTGACGTTGGGTCAACATAAAAAAGTTCAGATCAAGGCTAATCTATCGTACCTAGAAGGGACAGGACGGGACATTCAAGATTTTTCAGAGTTATTTTTTCTCACTCACACATGAATCAAGTAAAAGCTTCGAAAAAGCATTTAAACATGCTATAACTTTTCTTGTTTCCATTTCCTCCCCATAACAATCACAAACCCTGTCCATCCATCTTTTTATGAGGCATATTATCAGTTTGCTCCAGCTGACCTAAAAATTGACACTAAAAAAATCGCACAGAAAAGTGAATATGTATAAATATATTTTTTTACTTTCAAAGTAATGTTGCTGTTTCAAAGAAATCTACACTCAAAAGAGAAGCTTGAAAATATGCCCTCACAATAATGATAATATTATAATTTAGAACTGAGAGAAGGTTCAACTTCAACTTTCAAATGATGAAAAGATCCATGTTAAAGCCATTTATATATAGATACATATTGAAGTCATTTATAGATTAAAAGGATGAATTTACAATAGAGAGAAACGATACCTCTAATTTATGAATGGCTTTGGCTATGTGCCAAAGGGAACTTGTATCACCATCAACTGCGCATTCCTATCAATCGCAACAGTATTTAAATAAACAAATTAGAAGCAACAAAAGCACGAAGGACAGTCATTAACCGGAATTACTAAACGGACCTTGTACGAAAGATCAAGCTCAAAAGATATGACATCCTCATCCAGAGGCATCACATATAAAGGGTACTCCCCTATGGTAATCATCTGATGAACTTTCTCCTCCTCGAGAATCTATGAAAATAAAGAGATAATCATCCCAAATAAAAAATAGCTATGTAAAAAGCATATCAAACGCAAAGGAAAAGATCCCAGAAGAGAAGCCTATGAGATGGTGTTAAAATGGATTGGCTAATTGTAGACAAAGCCAACAAAGATCAAGCACAGTTCATCAAAAGGAAAATATTTAACAGCAAAGCAATAACAAATCGTACTCAATGTGAAGCAGGAATTAAGAGTTTCAAGTTGTAGCCTTGAAGCTCAATGCGAACAGGAGCCATACGATGTTTATAAAAACGCCAAAGCAAAGGCAAACAAAATATAGCCTCGATTATGAAAAAATGGAATTTATAAGCGAAATATCATTCTACTTAGCCAGATAGCTCAAAAAGTTATGGTCTACATGTCAGCCATTTTAATAGAAGTTATATGTTTTTCCATCTTCTGCTCAAAAATCAATTTTCTGGCAATTCTAGGCCTATTTAAGCATGACAGGGTTCTTAATAGACTGGTCATTCATTTATTATTTAAATAAATTTAATAGTCAATACCATGAAAAAGCAAGCCTCGTGAAAAAAAAAATTCAACTTCTGTTAAACCGCAAAACATTAACTTAAACAATTTTAATATGCTCATTTGGATGGTATTCTAGTAGAGGCCTCTCCATTCCTCAAATATAAGGTGTTTTGAAAGGACTAGCGTGATTATTCATGTTATGGCAGACAATCAAAACTAAGCAGTTGAATCCATCTCTAATTTATGTACCCATGACTCTTAACAGGAAAGGATTTAAGTTAATTAACACATTATCTATAAGTAAACGATTCACAAAAGGTATCACAATTGCAAGACATGACTTGAGGTTGATACATCCTCAGTTAGCTGACGATATAATTTTCTTTGAGACTAATGATAGATTGATCGTCAGCCTGAACAATAGCCACGCAAAGTTTCATTGGGTCAATCATGGTTAGACAAGACAAACTCAAAGATCCAGCTGCAGTTGGCCATAAAATTGGGCATTTTCCTACCTACATATGGGGCTACCTCCGTTAAATGGATCCTTTAAAACCTTTCCTCCAATAAAACAATGACTGCTACATGAAAAATCAGAAAAATACAACCAACTTAAGAAGCAGTATAGACAACATAAATGATGATTTTATCATTAAACAGAAAAACGTAAGCAGCAGATTAACTGAGAGTCAAGCATTCCCAAGTCACCAAGAATGCATGTATGAAGCATATAGAAGCGTACGGACAAACCTTTTCACAAACAACTGTGCGACGTGGGACAAAGTAAATGAAGTATTCTTTCTGTAATCCTTTGGAAATGTCATTGGAGATGTTCGAACAAATAAGCTTCATCAGGTTCATCTGGGACCGCACGAGGTAGACAACTTTGGGGCACTCAGTTTGAAGAGAGTCACCAGAAAGATGACGAAGCTCAGCATCACTCTCCTGACCATAAGAAGAGCTTTTTACTTTTCAAAGTAAATATTTATCACAGTTTTCAAAGTAAATGACTTCCCAGGGTATATCTTGAGCAAAGCATAAAAAAATAAATGGATGAAAAATAAAATACAAAAAAAAACATAAACTAGGAAACTTTCTCATCCAATCACAAGGTCCCCAATGTTGGGGACGAGAGGCTTTCGTATCTGCAAAAGAGGAAAGAAACTTTAAGAAAACTACCAAAATCTTCAGCATCAGAGAAGGCAGCAACTGTTAGCCCTTTGAGAATATAATCTAACAAGACCCAGGCTGCAACACACATAGAGAGAGGACAACTGATTGCCCGATTAAACAATTAAAATGAACGATTCAGCAAAACATCATGACACCTCCCCCTAGTAGCCAAATGGACGATTCGTAATGCCCTCGGTTTTCAGATTCCTAACGATCTAAACGTTCTGCCGAAACAGTCACCTTACGACTCTTTGCCTGTGAGCCTTCAACAAATGGCGTACTTTCTCTAGCCGAACACATTTGATGGCAGCTCTATTGAATGGCGTGTCAGGGAAAGGGCATTACGAAAACTATCATTCTTGCCCGCCCATCACCAAAACTCACACTACGTTCATGAAGGTTCAACACCATTATTACGAACCACGCAGAGCTGAGAGCACACCAGCTAGGCACTCCAGTCGCAAGGGAATATTCAATTCGCAGATTTTTCTGATATGATCGTTATAATCTCAAGAATTACGACGTTTTCAGAGGAAAACGGCGAATAGATCAGCTACCATACCTTGAGAAGCGACGTTTGGATCAACAGAGAGAGCGAGCCACTAAGCTTTGGATCGATGACAACGCATTTCCGCCCACGTATCTGTCAATGCCGTTCAACGAATGAAGTATCAGTCGAAATAATCGAACTGCTGTTAAAAGTGGAATAAAGAAATGTGAAGAGAAGAGAAACAGATGAGGAAGGATAGAGAACTACGCTCTTGAGGATCCCTAAGAGTTCCTTCTGCGACTGCTCTCTGGTAAACAAGAAGCAGAAGAAGTTTATAAAAAAAGGAACCAGAACACAAACAACTCAGGAATATACCCAAGAGAAAAGTATAGAAACACTGTCCTCGAGGGGATCCTAGAGAAAATTACCTGAGGGAAGAGAGATTGAGCGGAGCATTGTCCAGGTTGGGAATTTGAGCCATCACAGTATTGGAGACCACCGGCGCCACCAAGGAGCGCTCGTCCCGGTACAAAGATCGGAGGATTCCGTCTTTGAAGCTTCCGATCAGACCCGAATCACGGTGCCCCCCAACCTGTCCGCCGTTCCATCTCTCCTGTCCTTTCCCCCCCCCGGCATCGAAGCAGCGGGACGCGCCGTGCTGCTCTGGCGAAGGCCAGGCGCTCTCCGTCCGGGTCGAAGACGAGGAAGGGGGGACCCACTCCCAAACGGTCCCATTAGTAACGACCCATAACTCATCACGTCAAGCCCACTAAGGGAATCAACAGGCCGCAGAAAGATGGCCCACACCATAATGGGCCTCGAAACCTGGTCTTTTGTCCAGAGCTCGAGCAACCACGAATCCATACAAGACTTTCCTGTTTATTTGCTACCTTCCACGTCATACTATAGTGAGCTTTATTTTTTACTAAAATAATGTTACAATTTTTTTTCTGGAATGAGAAATCTTAAAGATCAGCAGAGGAGACGGCCCATCGCTGACCCATGCAAGCTTGTGCAGGGTGGTTGCCCACAAGGCTCCACAAGGTTTGACCCACGAGCTTGTAGGGAATGATAATGGTCCTTAATCTGCACTTATACATGTCACTCGATGTCAAGTGAATGTACAAACTGATGGCCTTAAGAGACCTATGAATTTTGATGATGATCACAACGGATAGAAGATAGTATAGCCAAATCTATAAGCATATGGGTACATGTCGCGACAACGTCATAAGTAATCCATATTAACATATTTTAAATCTTATGGGATCAAGCCTGATAATATATTGATAAAGCCTCTAATTGTTTTTATGATATTTTTATGAAAATATGTCAACTCATGTGTTTGAATCTATCTATGGACTAATTGGACATTATTGTGGTAGTACACTAGTATATGAACTGATTGCTATGTGCAGTGAAATGGTTATTAGACTAATGTTCTGAAATGTTATGGATCCTATTACTAAACCAACCATTAGGTGTGATGGTACTGGTTTATACCATTGTGACAAGGAAGTCAGCTGCTATGCATGAACTCTTTGTTAGACATTAGGCAATTTGATACCAAAATGCGATCTGATATCAACAACCCAAAATGTGACCTAATAGATAATCCTTGATAGCAAAAGGTAACCAATACATAGGGCCAGGGGTCCTTGATGATGGATCCTTGGTCAGCATTCCTTACATTTCTAGTATATGATTAATAGTTCTCGCTCCAGCTAACATCAGGGTAGTGATGTCCTCTACTCTCCCCTTGGATGATGTCATGCTCATTACATCATCATTTGATCTTGTGACTTTGGGTCACCATGTTAGTATTATTTACAATGTTGTTGTGCCTTCTGGTGCACGCGGCATGCTCACATGCATTGTCATTGTGCCGACGCATGTGCATTCTATCCTCCCATGTGTAGGTGTCGCCCCAATGCACATAGGTGTTGCGCCATCGCATGTGGGTGCCGTGCCACCACATGCAGATGTCGCATCATCGGATGCAAGTGCCGCACCGGCATGTACAAGTGTCTTGCCACTATGTGTGGGTGCCATGTTGCCACATCAATGGACACAAGCACCCTACCAATGCACGTTGTTTCCGTGACAACACACGACGCAGTGTTGTTGCTAAGGGTGGTTACTATAGATGGACTTTTAGTAACATTCTCCCCCTTTTGTGAGATCCAACATCCTCATTGAATGTTGTCGACCATAGTAAGCTTGGATTAAGTCCTCAAATTACCACAAGTTACGTCCTTCTCCCACATAATCATTTTTTGTGATTGTCATATCCACTAAATATGGTAAAAAGTGTTACAATGGGCATGATTGCACCTAATCTTGTCAACCACCTAACAATCTAATATTACTAATGCCGAGTTAGAGTAGTGTGCCTAGATAATTGGTGGAGGTCGGTGTAGTTTATTTCACTCTAAAATGTTCTCATATGTATGATAAGTTTTCAATAGAGACACATGGAAGACCAAGTGTACTAAGAGGCATAGAAGAAGTTGAAACTATAAGTTAACAACCTCACTTGACCCACTATTTGAAAATATTCATCAAAGTGATGACCCAATCAATTGTGCCGCTTCTATATTTGGAGGCTCTTGTGAGTAGGATAGATACAAAATAGTACCCAGTCCCCTACTACATATTCAACTTCTCGTTGGTGTTGATTAGTATTTTTCTTCATACTTTGGGCTACTCTTGTCAATGACTCTCATGCTTCTTCAATGAGATCATTGTCGTTCTTGGTAAAAGAGTAAGCAATTAGCAAGTATCATATTTCACAAGCTTAAAGAGAGTCAATGGTTGCTTGCTAATGACAAGTTCAAATGGCAAGTGTCCTATAGACATGTATTATTAGATGTTGTGGATAAATTGGGCGACATTTAATAGATCTATCCAATTGTCATGCCATGTCATGACATAATGTTTGAGGCAATCTTCTAAGAGCCCATTTACTCTCTTTATCTAGCCATTTGTCTATAGATGAAAAGTAGTTGAAAAGTTAAGCTCATTGCCAAGAAGAATGAAGATAGTTGACTAGAATCATCTTATGAAATGAGGATTGTGATCAAATATGATGTTGCATGGTATCTTTCATAATTTAACTATGAGTGTCAATAAGAGCAACGCCACCTCTTCTAAATTATACTTCAACCGTGTCAATCTAAAGGTTGCATACTTCAAGAATCTATCCACTATTACCAAGATGGCATCATGGTCACCCACCCCTAGGAGGCTTGTAAAAAAGTCAATGAATAGAGATTCTCATGGTCCTTCTAGAATAGATAGTGATTCCAATGTCCATGTGGCATTATGTCATTCTACTCTGTCTTGTTGGCAATCTAAGCAAGAGTAGACATAGGTTTTCATGTCTCACTCCATGTTGGACAAAGGTAGTTGCCGACCAATAACACATGTTTATTGTTGTCCAAGATATCATATATGTGATACATTGTGAGTCTCTCCAAAGAGGTGTCATTGTAGTTGGCCCTTATGTGACAAATAGAGTATTTGCCCTTTTGTGTATAAGATGTCATCTTCCACCCATAATCATTAAGTCTCTCCCATCTCCATTTGTTATAAGAGGTCTTTGGTTGCTAGATCTATATAATATGATGTCCTTATTTCATCTAATAATGTGCATGAGCTCGTTGAGAGGACAATCACAATTTCAATGACTTCTCATCAACTCAAGGCATCGACAACTACATTAGTCTCGCCTTACTTGTACTTAAGTGAGAAGTCATATTTTATTAAGAAGTTCTGTCACTAAGCTTCTAAAAGTTGAAACAACTAGTAGTCACATTGGTAGTGTATATGACAAATATTTATCTAAAAGATAGTGTTATCAAATCTGCAAGTAGTGCACTACTACTGTCATTTTCTTTTCATGTACTGAATATCGCTACTCTATATCACTCATATTTTTTTCTTTTGTAGGCTACAAGATGTTCCTCCTACATTAAAATCCTTTCAATAGTTATTTATGAAGTATCTATTTATACCTTGAAATATTCATTGAAGTTTAGGAATTATAACATAGGTTTTCTCATTACTATTTCTTGCAAGCTATCAAATGTTTGTTGACATGTCTTAGTCTATGCCGACTTCTAATCTTTCTTCAAGAGATCAATGAGTGGTGCTGCAATCCATGAGAAGCTTTGAATAAATTTACAATAGTAGTTGGCGAGTCTCAAGAATGATCTCAATTCTCATACCCCGTTAGGCATTGACCATTGATCAATCACGATTACTTTCTTCCAGTCTATATAGATTGAGCTATTACCCACCACATAGCACAAAAATTCAACCTCCGTGATCACAAAGGCATACTTTACTAGGTTTAGATATAATTGATAATCATTCAATGTCTTCAATACATGTTACAAATGTAACAAGTGTTCTTGTAGGGTACTATTATATATCAAAATGTCGTCTAAGTATACAATAACAAACTTGTCCAAGAAGAGACAATATATGATTCATGAAGGCACAAAATGTGTTAGGATCATTTGTTACTCTAAAACGCATAATAGTGAACTCATATGACTCATAACGTGTACACACGTTGTCTTCTGTTCTTCCTTACCTTTTAATTCATACATGACAGTAACCACTCTTTAGATCTAATTTTGAGAAGATCTTTACTTCTCTCAATTAGTCAAATAAGTCATCGATGTTAGGTACTAGGTACTTGTTCCTCACTGTGATTTTGTTCAATGCCTTATAATCCACACAAAGCTTTAACGTACCATCTTTCTTTCTCTAGAAAATAATCGGACTTAAATGGGGCATGAGAAGGGTGAATATGTCATGCCATCAGCAGCTCTTCTAGTTGCTTTCTCAGTTCTTTTAGATGTGACAGTAACATCTTGTATAGGGCCATGGCTAGTGGTCGTTCCCCGATAGTAATTTGATTGCATGTTCAATGTCTCGCCTTAGTAGTAAGTTCATATGAAGATTTTCAAGCATGTTGGTATGCCTTTACTTCTCCTTCCACCTCCCATAATGTGACAAGGAAGGTATATGGCCCTTCTTAAAGTTAAAATTCAATTATATTACATAAATAAATTAGAGCTTTGTCATCTCTTATGTGGATCCCTACATAAAATAAGATTGCTCACCCTCACATATGAGAGTTTCATTGTAGTGTAGGAAAATTTTCAACTTCACCTTGATCGTGAAGTCGGCACCCAAGATGATCACATAAAATTTCTTTCATTTTTAAGACTAGAAAATCTAATGTGTCCATCTAAATACCCATTTAGACTTTCACCTATTGTGTCAGTCATATGAATGTCTTGGCTTCATAATTGATAACTTTGATTCTGTTACTAATCTGAACCAACCACAGTCCCAATCAACAGGTGTTACACCCCAGGTGAGATGTGACACTAGATAGCTAAGATTCGCTCGTCAATTAACTTTCTAAATATTTAATAAAGCTCACAAAGGGTCCCTCCCTCTCCCATCCGCTCCCCACCTTCCTCAATTATAAAGGGGGAGGGAAGTAGACTAACCATTATAGGGGGTTCGAAGTAGATGTTATGCATGAACTATAGTTAGTCGTTGGGGCATAAAAGTCATCTTACTCGCTAATCATTAAGGTGTCTTGAGCGCCTTGCAAACCATTCTGCCTGCCTAGATATCATCCTATATGTCGGCGTCTAATGTGTCCCACAAGACTATGTTCCTACCATCATGTAGGTGTGTTAGTCTTCCCACCTCCTACAGGGGTTTTGTGTATCTAGGGACCCATTTTGTCTTGGGTCCTGTGATGCCATACCTTGCCACCATGGTGCATAAGTCTGTCGTGCTGTGTGCATTTGTTGTGCCCACTTTGCCAAGCACGCCCACCGTGTCACACGCGCCTACTATGTCATGTACGTCTACCATGCTCGCTGTGTCGCGTGCGTCTACCACACCCCATGTGCTTATCCCACTATGTGAGCCTGCCTTGTCGCAGTCCATGTTGTCCCTTACAAGTCTACTACATTATTGCTTCCTCTATGACATTCTCCCCCCTTTGAAGAATCTAATGTCCTCATTGGATGAGTTGTGAGGTACTTGGCAAGTTGTTCCTCAAACTATCGTAAGTCCTTCTGGTGGTGCTACATTGCCACTTTTGTGGGTCCCCTTCCCATCATATGAGGAAGTCGGTGTGCTTGTGCACATTATGGTGGCCACCTCCGTCACTGAACTTATGGGCTAGGATATCGTCAATTTTTGTTGAGAAGATTATTTTGGCTGATTAAGATTGTTGCATAACTTTATTCTCTTCCAGGTTCTTCTAGTCGGCCTTATACCTTGATGTGACTTAATCATTGTATAATAAATCATGTAAATTAAAATTTTATAAAGCTACAAAATATTAATTTTTAGATATTGAGAAATATTTCTAAACAAATATATCAATTATAATTTAATAAAACTTTCAAAAATAGTGATAATTTTCCAAGTCAATCACACATATGTAATATAATATTAGATAATTTTTTAGAATTTTACTCAAAAAAATATTTTTTTATATAAATTCTATATTATAAAATGAAAATAAAATATATTTAAAATTTATAATACAAATAAGGGTGCATACCTCATGATGACATCAATGTCTAACAAATGCGAATCGGGCAAAAATAGAGTTCCATCTGGTGATTTTTACATAAGCGATTACAAACGATTAAATTTATCAAATTAAGAACTATAAAAACTAGAAGAATCGTAATTGAATGAGATATAACTTGGTAAATTTAGATCACACAAATTACTACTAAATGAAGTAAAAATTAAGTTGAAAGCAAGAAAATAGAGTTTTAATATCATGACGACAATGCATCGGCGGTGCACCGGAATCTTGAGTGTTCGGAAGGATCGTCATGCAGTGTCAACGGCCTTAAAAACTCTCCTTGAATAATGACGATATAAACAATCTTTAGATCTTCTTGCGAAGTCTAGAGATCAATGAAATAAGTCGTTGAATTGTCTCTAACAACTGTCACTTGACAAAGTAGAAAAACACTAACTTTGCAGCTCTCTAGTAATTGTCACTAGACGAAGAGGAGTTGAATAGAGGTGGGACACGTGTTAGGAAACTTCGTCATTAAGTCCTTTTAGTAAGAGGAGGCTCTTCGTCACATCCGGTACGCTCTTAGGAGGTGGTGACTTGTCTTCCAACAGATCGTCATCTTTCTAACGACGGCTTGTTTAGTGATCAAATAGAGATGCTTTACTCGATAGATTTGCGATCGTTTTATCATAAATTGTTCAACAATTTTAGTAACAATACTCCATAAATTACGTTGACAAGATTTTTGCCGATGATCTAATGATTTTAGTGACTTAATTCTTCTCCAGCAATCTACAAAAAAATTGTGATAATCAAATAAAAAATACGAGTTTTGGCTCTAAAAAGATTTGAACTCACACTAGTTGCCTACCTTCAAAGCCTTTTAGGAGAAGGTGTGACGCGAATTTAGTCTCACATTGCTTGTGCGTTGAAATTTTGAGCAAATAAATATTAATATCATATTTTTCAAGCAATGAGTCCCTTTCTCCTATGTGTACGACCACTTCTTGCCCCACAATAGACTGGCCACCGGTGACGTGGAAAGGAAGTGGTGCATGCATGCCCCCATTGATCTTAGCCGCTCAAGCCCCTACTTATGACTCCCCTTGATTGCACTTCTAACTCGCTTGCGGGACCAACTGGCCATTTTATTATATTTTTATTTGTATTCTTTTTTTTCATTTATTTCAAAAATAAGACTATAAAAACATATAAATTCATAACAAATTACATAATTAGACAAAAATTCATATTAATTAACTAAAATTCATATTTTATA